GGTTATTCATTTTTCAGTTGTTGTATTTTTCTATACATCCAAAACATTGTTACCATCCACACCAATTTTAACTCCCCCTCCCCAGGGGTGACGAGATCAAGAGAATCTTCACCATGTACCAAGACATAGTTAACAATTTTTAACACCCCCCCCCACTCCCCAGGGTGACGAGATCAAGAGAATCTTCACCCTGTACCAAGACATTGTTTACAATTTTAACACCCCCCCACTCCCCCAGGGTGACGAGATCAAGAGAATCTTCACCCTGTACCAAGACATTGTTAACAATTTTAACATCCCCCTCCCCCACCCCCCTCCACAGGATGACGAGATCAAGAGAATCTTCACCCTGTACCAAGACATTGTTAACAATTTTAACACCCCCCCCCCCCCACTCCCCAGGGTGACGAGATCAAGAGAATCTTCACCCTGTACCAAGACATTGTTTAACAATTTTAACACCCCCCCCACTCCCCAGGGTGACGAGATCAAGAGAATCTTCACCCTGTACCAAGACATTGTTAACAATTTTAACACCCCCCCCCCACTCCCCAGGGTGACGAGATCAAGAGAATCTTCACCCTGTACCAAGACATTGTTACAATTTTAACACCCCCCCACTCCCCAGGGTGACGAGATCAAGAGAATCTTCACCCTGTACCAAGACATTGTTAACAATTTTAACATCCCCCCTCCCTCACCCCCCATCCCCAGGGTGACGAGATCAAGAGAATCTTCACCCTGTACCAAGACATTGTTAACAATTTTAACATTCCCCCCCCCCCCGGGTGACGAGATCAAGAGAATCTTCACCCTGTACCAATGACATTGTTAACAATTTTAACATCCCCCCTCCCCAGGGTGACGAGATCAAGAGAATCTTCACCCTGTACCAAGACATTGCTAACAATTTAAACATCCCCCTCCCCTCCCCAGGGTGACGAGATCAAGAGAATTTTCACCCTGTACCACATTGTTAATAATTTTAACATCCCCCCTCCCTCACCCCCAATCCCCAGGGGTGACGAGATCAAGAGAATCTTCACCCTGTACCAAGACATTGTTAACAATTTTAACATCCCCCCCCCCCGGGTGACGAGATCAAGAGAATCTTCACCCTGTACCAAGACATTGTTAACAATTTTAACACCACCCCCCCCACTCCCCAGGGTGACGAGATCAAGAGAATCTTCACCCTGTACCAAGACATTGTTAACAATTTTAACATCCCCCCTCCCCCACCCCCCTCCACAGGATGACGAGATCAAGAGAATCTTCACCCTGTACCAAGACATTGTTAACAATTTTAACATCCCCCTCCCCAGGGTGACGAGATCAAGAGAATCTTCACCCTGTACCAAGACATTGTTAACAATTTTAACACCACCCCCCCCCCCCCAATCCCCAGGGTGACGAGATCAAGAGAATCTTCACCCAGTACCAAGACATTGTTAACAATTATTTTAATACCCCCCTCTCCCCAGGGTGACGAGATCAAGAGAATCTTCACCCTGACTGAGACAATGTTAACAATTTTAACATCCCCCCCTACTCCCCACCCCAGGGTGACGAGATCAAGAGAATCTTCACCCTGTACCAAGACATTGTTAACAATTTTAACATCCCCCTCCCCAGTGTGACGAGATCAAGAGAATCTTCACCCCTGTACCAAGACATTGTTAACAATTTTTAAACACCACCCCCCCCACTCCCCAGGGTGACGAGATCAAGAGAATCTTCACCCTGTACCAAGACATTGTTAACAATTTTTAACATCCCCCCCCCTCCCCAGGGTGACGAGATCAAGAGAATCTTCACCCTGTACCAAGACATTATTAACAATTTTAACATCCCCCCTCCCCCACCCCCCTCCCCAGGGTGACGAGATCAAGAGAATCTTCACCCTGTACCAAGACATTGTTAACAATTTTAACATCCCCCCCTCACCCCCCTCCCTCAGGGTGACGAGATCAAGAGAATTTTCACCCTGTACCAAGACATTGTTAACAATTTTAACATCCCCCCCTCCCTCACCCCCATCCCCAGGGTGACGAGATCAAGAGAATCTTCACCCTGTACCAAGACATTGTTAACAATTTTAACACCCCCCCCTCCCCAGGGTGACGAGATCAAGAGAATCTTCACCCTGTACCAAGACATTGTTAACAATTTTAACATCCCCCCTCCCTCACCCCCATCCCCAGGGTGACGAGATCAAGAGAATCTTCACCCTGTACCAAGACATTGTTAACAATTTTAACACCCCCCTCCCCAGGGTGACGAGATCAAGAGAATCTTCACCCTGTACCAAGACATTGTTAACAATTTTAACACCCCCCTCCCCAGGGTGACGAGATCAAGAGAATCTTCACCCTGTACCAAGACATTGTTAACAATTTTAACATCCCCCTCCCTCACCCCCATCCCCAGGGTGACGAGATCAAGAGAATCTTCACCCTGTACCAAGACATTGTTAACAATTTTAACACCCCCCTCCCCAGGGTGACGAGATCAAGTGAATCTTCACCCTGTACCAAGACATTGTTAACAATTTTAACATCCCCCCCCCCCCACTCCCCAGGGTGACGAGATTAAGAGAATCTTCACCCTGTACCAAGACATTGTTAACAATTTTAACACCCCCCTCCCCAGGGTGACGAGATCAAGAGAATCTTCACCCTGTACCAAGACATTGTTAACAATTTTAACATCCCCCCTCCCTCACCCCCATCCCCAGGGTGACGAGATCAAGAGAATCTTCACCCTGTACCAAGACATTGTTAACAATTTTAACACCCCCCTCCCCAGGGTGACGAGATCAAGAGAATCTTCACCCTGTACCAAGACATTGTTAACAATTTTAACATCCCCCCCACTCCCCAGGGTGACGAGATTAAGAGAATCTTCACCCTGTACCAAGACATTGTTAACAATTTTAACATCCCCCCCTCCCCAGGGTGACGAGATCAAGAGAATCTTCACCCTGTACCAAGACATTGTTAACAATTTTAACATCCCACCTCCCCCCACCCCCCTCCCCAGGGTGACGAGATCAAGAGAATCTTCACCCTGTACCAAGACATTGTTAACAATTTTAACATCCCCCCTTCCTCACCCCCCCTCCCCAGGGTGACGAGATCAAGAGAATCTTCACCCTGTACCAAGACATAGCCTGCAACTTCACCGTCCTGACCCTTCTGCCCTACAACGGCACCATGGACGCCAGCCAATACAGCCGCCTGGACTATGCCCTGGCCAGTGATGCCCTGAGACTGGTCACCGAGTCCTACATGCTAGTGGACGAGACGGCTGCCGCTAGAAACTTGACACTCAACGATGAAAACGTCAAGTTCTACATGAACAAGACCATCGACAATGTAGGATTTTAACAGAATATTTATGTTTTTGAAAGTATACCTTTTGGTGGAGTATAGCTACTGAAAGGGGTCATAGATAAATGACGTCACGCTTTTTTTTGACGATTTTTACGTCCGCCCCTCCCCTCCGTCACACATCTTCACAAAAAGCCAGACCCCCCCCCCCTAAAATGACGTCACACCTCAGCATACAACCCCCTCAAAATTGCAGTTGAATTTTTCTTAAAACCTCGAAATTTATCCAAAATCTTGTCTGAACTCTGCCAAAATAGAGTATTTTGATCAATTCTTATTGCGAAATAACGTCTAAAATTAGTTTTCTAACATTGCTTACTTTTTTTATAATGCAAAAGTGTGACGTCGCATCATCTGAACCCCCCCCCCCTCAACACACAACGTCACAAAATTACGGACCCCCTCCCCCCTACGAGTGTGACGTCATTTATGGACGACCCCAAAGGAGGCTTCTGATGTTTTCTTAGAGTCTACCTTTTAATATTTTAAAAGATTATATTTTTGCCTGTTTTTGAAAGGAGGCCTATTGTGTTTTTAAATTACTAAATAATAGTAAATAATCAATAAACATTTTTGGCAGTTTAATTTTTATCATAATTATAGAAGCATACGTTTTTTGGATTTATTAAAAAATGTACAACTTTACATATTTTAAAATTATACTTATTTGTTTCTAAATCGTAACTAATAAATATCAGTTTAAAGTTTAAGGTTTTACAAACTCCTCAGATCAACAAAATTTAAACTGCGTTTGTCTCCGTGGCTCAATCTTTAGTAAACGGTCCTAGATCTATCTGTTTTCAAATGTGTTCCTATTTTGAGTTTACTCTTGTAGATTCACTCTATAATAAACATGAGAATGACATCATACTATAAATAAGTAGATGGTTTGACTATATCCTCCCCAGAATAGTGCTATCGGCCATACTGGAATTCTGCAATTTGACTCGGACGGGAAACGAAACAATGTTTCATTTGCTCTGACGTCAGTCACGGGAACTGACAGTTACCCGGTAAGCGAGAAATGGGAAACAACTGCGATAAAATTCTTCTCACCCTTGATTACTTCCCTTGTTTTATGTGATGCCCATAACTTAAAACGTTCATTTCTATCCTTGAAATAAAATAATTTGATATGTATTTTCCTTTTAATACAGAGAGGCCACTGGTACTCCGTACCTTATATTTTGGACAGGCACATCAAATTCTATGACGAAAAACATCCTTTGAACAGATCCACACCTTTCCCTCTCAGGGGTAGAAGAGCTAAAGTTGTTATGATAGAGGTGAGTCCAAAATACTGATAAACACATAAGTGTATACATAGTTTACAAACATTAATACACACAATTGTGTATAATTTATACATTTATAATTTATAAATACTAATATGGCTACAGGACATTACCCCCCTGGATATTCCCCCCCCCCCCCGGATATATCCCCCCCCCCGAATTTACCCCCCGGAGCAATTACCCCCTGTCAATTACCCCCCTGTCAATTACCCCTCCCCCCGGGGAATTACCCCCCCCCCCCCTCTCAAGTTAAAATCCTAACTCTAACTAGAATTTTATACCTATATACTACTTTAATCCAAACCTTAAGAAAAAGACCAAAACCTAAGCATCCACCTTAGCCTAAAACTTCAAACAAAACCAAAACAAAAGCTAGACACAACCCTAACCCTAAAACTAGTTCTAACCCTAGCCCTAGCCCTAACCCTAACCCTAGCCCTAAAACCAAACCCTAGCCCTAAAACCTAACCCAAACCCTAACCCTAGCCCTAACCCTAACCCTAGTCCTAACCCTAACCCTAACCCTAGCCTTGACCCTAACCCTAGACCTAGCCCTAAACCTAGCCCTAGCCCTAACCCTGTCCGGGGGGGGGGGGGTATTGTCCTACTGGGCGGGGGGGGGGGTAATTGACAGGGGGTAATTGACAGGGGGGGTAAGTACTCTGGGGGGTAATGTCGGGGGGGGGGGGAAATATCCGGGGGTAATTGACAGGGGGGAAATGCCCTGTTCCCTACTAATATATACACACACACACACCCTCACACACTAACATATACATATATATATATATATATATATATATATATATATATATATATATATATATATATATATATATATATATAGGTATAAATATCAGTAAATGTTAGTATCTTATTTATTTGTGTTATAGGAGCGACCTTTCACAATGCTAAAACGGGACCATATGTTAAAAAGGGGAAATGACAGATTTGAGGGCTTTGCTGTAGATCTGATTGAAGAAGTCGCAAAAATGCTGGAGTTTGATTACGATATTTACCTAGTGAATGATGGGAAATTTGGCAGCAAGATGCCCAATGGCGAGTGGAATGGTATGATAGGAGAACTGCTAGCTGGGGTGAGTGATAAGCTGAGATTAGCACAACAGATTAACATCATATCTGTGTTATACAAGATTTTCAAGAGCATGAAGACTTGTTTGTGTTTATTACTTATTTTTAACATGATTTTTGTATAACAATGGTTAATGACTAGTAAATCATAAAGGCCTACATGACATAAAGAAGTTGTCTTTTTTCTTAGGGAAAAGAACATATGTTGTACCAAAGATAAATAAATATAAAAATCAATATCCGAGGTCGTCCATAAATGACGTCACACTCGTAGGGGGGGGGTCCGTAATTTTGTGACGGTGTGTGATGACGGGGGGGGGGGGTTCAGATGGTGCGACGTCACACTTTTGCATTATAAAAATGCAATGTTTGAAAACGAATTTTAGACGTTATTTTGCGTTTTAGAAAACTTTTAATAAATTGTAATAGGAATTGATCAAAATACTCGATTTTGACAGAGTTCAGACAAGATTTTTGAAAAAAAATATCGATGTTTAAAAAAAGTTAACTGCAATTTTGAGGGGGGGGGGGGTGTAGGCTGAGGTGTGACGTCATTTTAGGGGGGGGTGGTTCTGGCTTTTTGTAACGACATGTGACGGAGGGGAGGGGGGGGGGTAAAAATCGTCAAAAAAAGCGTGACGTCCTTTATGGATGACCCCTCCCTTAATAAATTGCATTTTATAACAGTATCTTATAAATATTTGATTAAAGTGTATCAAAAGATAAAAGCTATTGAAGAGCATTGTTTTTACTAAATCAGAATACAAGAAAAATATATATCCTATAATACAAGGAACATTATTTTAAAAATGTTTTCATTTATTGAAATACAAGCAAACTTGTGGCCCATTTTTAAAAAAAAAAATGTTTTACTCTGTCAGAATGCCACCATGTCCGTAGCGCCTCTCTCAATCAACGCCCAGCGCGAGGAAGCCGTAGACTTCACCAAGCCATTCAAGACTCGCTACATCTCCGTGCTCATGAAAATCCCCACGCGGGAAACTTCCTACTTCGAGTTCCTGAACCCCTTGTCTCCAATTGTGTGGATCTGTACCCTCTGTGCCTTTGTTATTGTTAGTGTCATCCTGTATGCCTTAGAGAGGGTGGGCCGCAGCAAAAGCAGGAGTCCTGACAGCCTGGAGATAACTGTCAGGGAATCTTTCTGGTTTATTTTTGGATCCTTGCTGCAAGGTTAGCTCCCTTTTTAAAATGTTAATTCAAAATATAACTAGGATAACTAACAACTTACAATTTTAAATTATATTGTTTAACATGGTCTGGCTGTATTTGAAGGATATTTATATTGAGTGGTTTTCAAAGAAATATATATGTAAATCACTTTAAAATTTTGGGCTTATAATTAAACTTAAATAAAAAATCTGCTACCAACTTTTTAAAATTTCATCTATCAAATTAAAAATCTACATATGTAAAATAAATTTTACTTATTCAATAGATTAACTTTTTTACCTATGTTTATACCACTCATTTTGAAATATTTTTTTTAATATTTACAATATCATTTTAAACATTAGAGCTAGAAGGAATTATTTTTTTAAAAAATAACACATGCATCATCATACATCAGTTCATGTAAATAAACCTACGTTACCTAGGTAACACAGACTCTACGCCTTCAACAATACCTGGGAGGATCCTCACAAGTGCTTGGTGGTTTTTTGCCCTCATCCTCATCTCCTCTTACACAGCCAATCTGGCAGCCTTCCTTACAGTCAAAAAAATTAACACACCAATCAAGGTAAAAATCTGGCTTATTTTGATAAATTAATTAACCCACCAATCAAGGTAAAAATCTGGCTTAGTTTCATAAATTAATTAAACCACTAATCAAGGTAAAATCTGGCTTTTTAAAATTAATTAACATACCAATCAAGGTAAAATCTGGCTTAGTTTCATAAATTTATTAACGCACCAATCAAGGTAAAATATGGCTTTTTAAAATTAATTAACAAACCAATCAAGGTAAAATCTGGCCTATTTTGATAAATGAATTAACACACCAATCAAGGTAAAAATTTGGCTTAGTTTAATAAATTAACATATCAATCAACCTAAAATCTGGCTTATTTTGATAATTAAATTAACACACCTATTATGGTAAAATCTGTCTTATTTTAATTAATTAATTAATACACCAATTAAGGTAAAAATTTGGCTTAGTTTTATAAATTAACACACTAATCAAGGTAAAAATTTATTTTGATTAATTAATCAACACACCAGCCAAGGTAAATTCTAGCTTAGTTTAATAAATTAATTAACACACCAATCAAGCTAATGTATGGCTTACTTTAATAAATTAATTTACACACCAACCAAGGTTTAGTTGCCCCATGAGGGTATAAAGATAACTCAAAATAAATGAGTCTCAGCTTGAGTTTCATGATATAATAAAATATAAGTAGATTATATTAATAATTTTACCTCTTATAAGAAATAGATTACATCACATAAGTTTCTGTATACAGAAGATTAATGTGATAAAAAATATTTGGTATTAACAATTCATTTAAAATTATATAACTAAATAAAATGAGCATATATCACTAACATTCAAAACCTTCTGTGATTGTGGTTTTTAGATAACTAGATCTCCTAATAATTATTATTGTAATAAGTTTGTAAAAAATGTCTTACTAAATGTTTCTATTTTTCAGTCTGTGACAGACTTGGCGCAACAAACAAAAATAAAATATGGCACTGTCAAGGACAGTGGCATCATGTCTTTCTTCAAAAACACCAACATAGAGCACTTTTCCAAGATGTGGTCGCAGATGTCTGAAATAGACCCAGACTCCATGGTGGAGAACACTTTAGAGGGTTATAAAAAAGTGAGTGACTTTTTACAAAACAAAATTTTAATTATTGGCTTGTAAAAATAGTTTTTAAAAAATAAAGTCTATTGTAAAAACAAATAAAAAATTTAAAAATTCTAAATTATTAGTATTGATAGTATTATTTTTTAATTTGAATTACTTTTTCATAATAAACAACAATAGGTTTCAGACAGGGATTCATATAAAAATTTGTCACTATTTTTTCTAACCACTCAAATCAAAACAATACTAATACTTATTATCTAATATCATATTCTATGGATTACTGTTTAAAGATTCAATGGTAATCAAAAGATATTTCAAAGTTTACAACTAGCCAAAGCTCATCTCATACATTTTTAATTTTCCAATTCTGAAAGGTCAAGAATGGGAACTATGCATTTTTTTGGGACACCACAGTCAACAGATATCAGGCTATCATTGACTGTGAGGTGATGGAGATTGGACCACCATTTGATCCTAAAGGGTTTGGGATAGGAGTTCCACCAGGGGCGACATACAGGGAGGAGCTATCAATGGCAATTTTAAGACTTAGTGATAAAGGGAGGCTACATGAGTTGGAAACAAAGTGAGTTATTGTTCTTTGTTGTCTCTCAATGTTATTAAAACTATTTTTAAAATTAAATTATAAATGTCATCCTTTCTTAAGCTAACTTTGCAAGAAAATTTGATTATTTTTCTAAAGATCTCAATCAAACTAGCTGTGTTGTGTAAAGTTAATTTTCTTAAGCCATAGAAAAAGTGATTTTTATTATTTTTAAGAAGCTCTTCTGAACCATATTTATAAAACAATTAAAGTTACACTTGCAGTGCAGAAAATGTAATCCTATGACAAAAATAAGTTTCAAAACAATCAAAATAGCAATCATAGTTTTAAATATTTCAATCAAATTATTCAACAGAAAAGTAATTTTTAAAAATATATTTAAATAGGCTCATTCTTTTTCAAACTCTTTCAATCAGCCAACAATTTTTCTTTTCTGTAGATGGTGGGACAGTGGAACATGTCCTGACTTAACCAAAGCATCAACAGATGAGACAGCCTCCCTCCAAATAGAAAATGTGGCTGGTGTTTTCTTCATCCTAGTGGGTGGTATCATCATCGCAGCCATTGTTTGTCTGGGGGAATACTTTGCCAACGCTATGATCAGAGCTTCAAAACAAGTAAGAAATCAAACTCAGACTTTCAGCATGCAAAGTTATTTACACCAACCCAGAGAACTAAGTCAAAAACTATATGTAATTATTTTAAAATTGTTAGTCTAAACACCAAACCACTGGTATGTGTTCCCAATACATTAACAAGCATGTAAATAAAGTGTGGAGAGTGATTTCCCTTCTATGTGTGTAATCACCCTTTTATTTCTAATGGACTAAAAACGCATATTTTAAAAAAGTGAGATCTTGACTTATTTGTCAAAGATTAAAAAAAAAACAGAATTTTTAGAAGAAACACACTAAAAAGATAATTAAAATAAAGTGACTTTTGATACAAAGTTATCTACATTGTCAATAAGACAAGTAGTGTTACTTTCAGACATTTTTCTCCAGAGGGGAAAGGGGACTATTTAAACTTATATAGAGTGAAATATTTCCTGAAAGAAACGCTAGAGAAAATGTGGGTTAATTATTACTTTATGTTTTGTTATATTCAAATGCTGAGCTCCACTTCAGCTCCCATATTCTGTACATTAGGTAAAATGTAATTATTTATTGTTACATCCTAATCATTACATTAAATTGCATGAAGATAACCCTGTCACTTATGTGTGTAAGTAACCATTAACTTTTCTTTTGATGTGAAACTATTATTGTAGAATATAAAGTAGTATAAAAGGATTCTAAAAAAAACTTTGTTTTAATAAGATTTATAATTTACAGTAAACATAGAAAAAATTAAAATGATTTATATTAGCTTTATATTTAAGTGCAAGATATTTAGAGTTTCTACAAGAAAGCATTATAATTTTTTCTTTATACTTTTGGGGAAAGATTGTAAGAGTTTACTGACTACATTTTTAAAGCAATATCTTCATATTCAAAAAGATAATTTATTAGTAATGTTGATATTATTTTCAAACTCAAACTTTACCAAAGTAATTGATTTAACTAGAGAATTGAGGGTAAAATTACATTATTGGCAAAACATGTAAATAAGCATAACAATAAAAAAAATCACAAACGAGTGGCCTTAAAAATGATGTCATGGTATTTTCCTGGACATTCTCTCCCACCCCCCACCTCCCCAATTTAAAAAAAAAAACTATTTTGATATTATAAGGGGACATAACTATGTGGAGGTAATTTTAATCGAAATATCTAATTGAATTATTTCCCTTTAAAGTAACATTCTAAAATCCTCTAGCTACTTTTAAGCCGAAAACATTGCTAAGCACAGTTTAATCCGGTAGGCGAATTCTGGTCAATAATAGATTAATTGAACATAGTAATTTAAAAAAAAATATTTAAGATACAATGTAAATTAATTTAAAAAACTTTTATTTAAATACAAAAGCTGTGATTACACTTTCTTAGTCCATTCCTGTCACCCATCATCTCTTAAGTCCATCCCCCCCCCCCTACTTATAAGTGTAACATCATTTATGGATGCCCCTCCATGCTTCGCTTTATAATCTATCTAGTATGAAATAACCAATCACTGCAAGCGCCCATGATATTTTGACATTGTCTCCGCAGGCGTCAGGTAAGAAAACCAGTGATAAAACAAGAGACAAATACTGCACCCCATCTACAGACCCAGCAGAAAAAGACAGCTTTATATGAAAACCCTCCGCATGGACTTGACATATGTATAGCATGGTTTGTTGCCTGCTATTAATTTATTCATAATTTACCCTTACTTAATCACAAGCCTACTATGTAAATGCATTCTGTTGCTGTATTTCAGTTTAATTTAAAACACAATACAGTAGATGTTTTTCCTGCACTGCATGAAAAATACTTTTGTGTGTGTTTTCACCAGTGTATATTTAAAAAACGAATATATTTTTTATTGTAATGTGAAATATTCAAAATTTAAAATTTATTTTTGTTTATCTTTTTTCAGGCAAGCAAAAAAAGGAAAGAGACTAATCAGAATGGTCTTGAAGCACCTGCATTTCTGTAGAATAAATTTGTTTCTCTAATTTTTTACAAATCAAATCATGTTTGAAAAATAAATGTAATAAACTTGGACCAAGTTTGGTAAACTAAAAAGCTGCATTTATGTAGAATAAATTACTTTTTTAATTTATAGAGAATCAAATTATATCTTTAACATTAATTCATAGAACGTCAAAAGAAATATTTATTTATTTTTACTTTAGATGAATGGTTAATGGTCTACAATATTTTAAGTGGATGGAGACTCACCATTGTTTCTATGTTTGCAAAGTGAATTATTTATATATTGCATCATTGATATGTGTTACTGTTTAATATGAACATGGTATTTTAAAAAGTTTAGTACAGAATTACAACATTTATTTTTTGAAAGAAAAAATTTCTTTTAAATACCAAAAAGATTGAGTCATAAAAATTTTTAGATTACTATTTTTTCCAATTATTTTAATGTTTTTGTAAGGTCATACAATAATTAAAATACTTAAATAATATTCAAAAGATAGAGTAGGGTGCATATTAATTAACTAAAAGTAAAGTTCACCCAGTTCTGATGGGTACTTGACTTATGTCCCTTGATAAAAACTCATAAACTGTGTAAATAAAGCTTAAGTAATTATAAAACAATTTGATGTTATACATTCATATACAATCACTTCAAAGAAACAGGGAGGAATAAGGTTATTTTTGTGAAATCAAAATCTAATTTCTATTGAAGTTAAATTCAATGTAATATTTTGTGTGAAAAGCAACTTAATATGCCATCTTTTGAATGTGTGATTTTGTATCAATGTATGTAAATGTGAGATCTATATGTATGGAAATAAATTTTACTTTTTAAAAGAGGCCTTAATTTGGAAGAATTGCTTGACATTGCTAAGGCCATGTTGCTTTGGTACAATTGTATGCAACAAAAATTTAATTTTTGTGCTTCATATTTTTCATTCAAATTGTCAAATAATTTATACTTACATATTGACCCTCTTTGTATAATAAAACCACACTTAATGTTGAATATAATGTATTGTCTTTATGGTATCATTCACTTCCACACACATACCATCATAATCATAACAATGATGGTTTATTTCTTGGATAAGAATGACATTAGCAAACATATAATTAAATTAGGTCACATTTGAAAGGTCCCTTTTATTAGGATTTTTCTTTTGCTAGGACTCATCACTACCATCACAATATTTTAATGTGTAATGGTTTCCATAAAGATACAACAAAAGCAGAAATAAACACAAACAATATTTATATCCTTTATTATGGTTTTTGTAAAATTACTTTCATTTCAGCTATGACTTATTTTTATACTCATTCAGAATTAAAAATTTTCAAATCTTAAAATGTGTCTGTCCATAAGATGTTTACAAAGATTAAAATAATTTATTTTATTAACTCATTATATTTTTTTCAAAGCTAATTAAGTTAATAATACAAATTATCAAGGCAAATTAAATTTTTTGAGAAAACGAATAACTTTCCTAATGTATAGTCTACCACATATTATACAAATTTAACTCACCTTACTATTGTAACACTAATTGTCCATCTCACTATCGGCACAATTATGTATATAACTACACTGCCTTTTGTATCTACTATAACTGTTATGTGGGGAAAAATCTGTGATTTGTTTCTTAAACTTTAAAATCATATTTTTAAATGTATTATAATTATGTTTTGCCATGTGTTTTCTACAGGCCCTGTGGTACTGATAATTTTATATTGTATGTAAGGAATGTTTATAATGTTATTATTATTATTGAATTATTTTAGTATGGCTGTGAGGTAAATGTAAGACATAAAATCGTTTCTTTCAAACATTTAAAAATTCATGTTTGTGGCAATATTGTATTCCATATTTTTACCAAAGTTACTTTCTCGCCCTGCTTGAAAATCAGAATTTTTATTTCAATAAAAAACTGATTTACAATAAGTTTAAAAAACACTTTGTTTTGTTGTCTTTTCAAATATCAGAATAATTCAAATTTGTATGTGAATTAAATACCAATATATTTAGACTAGCATAAGTAATCAATAAAGGTGCTAATATCCACTGTGCTAAAATTAAAAACACCAAAGTTCTCAATATAACCACTACCTCCTGTCCTTCTTATGTCCAATCAGTTTTCCTTTGCCAGCCTTCAAGATTCATTATTATCACTCTTCATTCATTGAAGATATAATCTAAATGACCAGGCAAGACTCCTACTCAGTCTGAAGTTTCTTGCTTCAGTATAGTTCAAAGAACCCTCTAGAAAACATCATATTTCTATAGTTCAAAGAACACTCTAGAAAACATAATATTTCTGATTTAAATCTAAATGTGATCAAATATGTGATTACTGGAACGATTTAATTTTAAAAGCCCTCATTTAACAGCCTTTGCTTATTTTTACTCAATTATGAAACAATAAAACTTGATAATATCTTTATTTTTAAAAAAATAAATAAAAGCAAAGAATTTTTATAATGTATTAATATATTATAGTTCTTAATAAAGATTACTTGAGAAAAACATTTTTTTTAAATAGATCAATAAGAATGTATAGTTTAATGTTTGTTTTTTAATTTGGAAATAGTGAACTAGCACAAACCATAAAAACACAAAATTATTAATCAAACAATTTAGATTATGGACAACAACAATACAACACAAGGATTTTTTTATAATATCAATTTACATTTAATTTCAGTAAATAGTATCTCCAAATAAATACATATATATTGTTTTTTTTTTAAATAAGTTTTTTTTTTACCTTAACTTTAATCTTATATGTATATACTCAAAAACACACATTTAAAAAAAATATGACTAATATACAAAGTAAAAACACAAGTTTAAAAATGGACTAAACCCAAATTTAAAGACAATTTAATGTTTTTTGAAAATTTGAAAAATCTATATAGTATGAAAAACATTCTTACTACTTTGTTATAATTTAATATTACATTTATAAACTGTAGTAACACACCTGTATGTTAGATTGTGAAACAAAAATATTGATGTAAATCAAACTTTCATTGAGATCTAATGGATAAAATTGATAATTTTAAAATTACCTTTAATTATCAGTAATGATAGTGATTTCTAATTTTATATGTTTCTTTAAATACTCTTGCAATTTCAATTTCATGGCATTTCATGTATTAAAATAAATAAACGAGAACATTGTAACATGGGTAATTGAAATAATACTGTCAGGATAACTGAGGTCTAAAGTTTCATGTAGCTGACAGCTGCCTGTGTGTCTGGGGTGAGCAGTGTTCCTGGCTCATGCACCAGGTCAACGATGTATCTCTTGGGGGGAAATTTGGGGGCAACAGGCTGAAACACAGGCATAAAGTTTTAACTTTCATTAATCATTCATCAATCAATCATGTCAATTTATCATCTGTCAACCCATTCATTTTGTGCATTATTTCAATAAACCCCATTTGTATGTAGCGTTTTATTTTATTTTGATCAACCCAATCATATTGTTTTAGTTTTACCCTATTTCAGTCAACCCATTTATTTTGTATATTATTTCAATCAAACTAATTTGTATGTAGCCTTATATTTTATTTTGATCAACCCAATCATATTGTTTTAGTTTTACGCTATTTCAGTCAACCCATTTATTTTGTATATTATTTCAATCAAACTAATTTGTATGTAGCCTTATATTTTATTTTGATCAACCCAATCATATTGTTTTAGTTTTACCATATTTCAGTGAACTAAAACATGGTTAGGCAATAGTATTCAGTGGCAGAAAAATAAATCATTTGCTATCAGAAAAAAAAAAAAATTTAGTAGCTAAGCCACTTTAACTTTATTTTAAAACATAACATATTTATTTCTACTAGGATCAGGAAATAAAAACACTTTATACATTTTGTGATGTAAAGTGGCCACAATTTTTTTTTTACAAATTAAAAAATGTATATAAAAAAATTGCCATAAACACAACTTCTGAACTGATTAAATTTTAAAGTTTTTCTTAATTGATAAATACAAAATAGAATAAAGGTAACAGAAGGTAACAGAAAAAGGTAAACCAAGAAATTTTCATGTTTCTCCCAGTGAGTACCTTATGAGAAAAGGACTGTCCAGAAGCACTGGCAGCAGCTAGAGATATTGGGGACATATCACAGCTGCGCTACAAGCAAAGGATGAAATTTTTAATATAAACAGCCACAGTTTTTAGGTTTAGGTTGCTAACTTTAGTCAATGTGAATCCATCTTTACAGGAAAAAATTTACTTTGAGAAACTGTTAAAATGTCCAAAATCTGATTTAACAAGAAACTTTTAATAATATTGTGATAGAAGACTTCCCTCTTTAATATTTAGTAAAATCAAATATGACAGCCAAATGTCTTTTTTAATGCAATTTTTCAACTCCAAAGTAGAGCATTGGCAATAAACAATATCCTTCCTTGCTTTTCTAATGTTTGCTATTTTTTCCATTTCTTTTCAACTCTTCAACTCTTTTTAATAATTTACATATGTATGTGCATATATTTATATATCGCATGCCAACTTGTAGACTATACATATACTTACATCCTCATCATCGTCAGGCAGAAGGACATCATTCCAAGCACGGTTGTATTCACCTCTGGTCAGAGAGCAAGGCAGAGCTATGCGGTCAGCCAGAGTCTAAACATAGGTTAAAGTTTAAATCAGAGCTATTCGGTCAGCCAGAGTCTAAACATAGGTTAAAGTTTAAATCAGAGCTATTCGGTCAGCCAGAGTCTAAACATAGGTTAAAGTTTAAATTATTTTTAAATGTCAATAAATGAATTTTTAAAACTCATTAAATTTTAATTAAAAATAGGCCACATTTAGAATTGGAAAATTATTTTAAAACGCAAGAATAACTGAATGTTTAACATTAAATTAAAAATTGGCCATATATTCTCAGACTTCAAACTAAACAAAAATTAACACAAAAGTTTACTTTCAATACAAAATGAAAAACAAATGTTAAATACAATGTTTTGTTTCAATAAACAAAAATTAACACAAAAGTTTACTTTCATTACAAAATGAAAAACAAATATTTAATACAATGTTTTGTTTTAGTAAAATGAAATTTTAAAATTCTCCATCAATGAATGTACAGCTAACCTTGAAGAGTAGAGCCCTGTGGATGTGGATGCCAGCCTTGATGTGACCAATGGGGATGACATTAGACTTGAGCTGGTAGCGCAGCTGGTTCATGGGAAGTTCCCAGCTAAAGTTGGCCACCTCCCCGTGGGCAATCTTCCCTCCCATTTTGTTAGAGACATACCTGGAACACCATCCCTCAATGTTAGTAAAAAAAAACTTGCTATCAGAAAGCAAGGTAAACATGAAGAACAAGAACAAGATTTGCTTAAAGTATTTTGAAAAAAACAATTTTAAAAATATATACAATGTTATTTTGTTATTTCTATGAAATTGCTAAATACAATCAATGCGTAGGGCTAAAATTTGGATACTGTATTGCTATTTCATACAATAAAATAAAAAAGCTCATGAATTTCTGTGTTAATGATATACAAAGTAATTGTGTGACTACCACCATTGACCACTGACCATGCAAATTTCCCCAATCTAATGCCAGGTACCCAGAAGAGTTGAGTGAACTCAAAATCTTGTAATAGAAATAAAATATGTAAACCAACACATGATTCTAACAATCTATCCTTAAACTACACAAAATGTATAAAAAGCTGAAATCAATACATGATGAGTAACAAAAAATAAGAAACGATTCTCTTCATTAATTCAATCACTTGAGGCAAACAACATGAAATAACTTATTAACAATAACAAACAATTCACTCTACTAATGTAACGACTTAAGGTAAACAATATGAAATAACTAACTCCATTATTTAAATGACTTGAAGCAAACCGTAATAGATGACTCACTTCGCTAATGCTATGACTTCAGACACATTATAACAAACAGCTCACTCCTCTAATGCAATGACTTAAACATAACCATAACAAACAACTCACTCTGCTAATGCAATGACTTGAGATTTGGTATCTGGAAGAGGCAAAATTTTCTCCACTACATCTTCAATGTATTTGAAGAGAAAAGAGTCAGGCGGGGGTACAAATGGTGTCGGCTCAGCAACAACTTCTGCATCCTTCTGTGGCTCGTTCTCTTCATCTTTTGCTTTCTCTTCCTTATCTTTATCTTTTTGGCCCTTTCTCCTGACAACACAATTATTAAACATAATCTACTGGTAGTCTTGATAAATCAACTGGTTAACTAAAATCTTTAGAAAAATATTTAAGAATATTTTTTAAAAATTAAAAAAAAAAGACATAATAAGTAAAGAAATAAAGGGGGAAAAGGATAATTGTAAATTATCTTAGGTTTAGACATGTATTGTAAATAATTTGGTGCTGATAAGAACAACTACAATAAAATTATGATGTCTTTTTTTAACAAAACACACAAATTAACAATCATTATAATAATTGGTAATACTAAAACATTTGTGTATAATAAATGACGTGTGCACCACTGGCTAATCTACCTCAGTATTAAACAACAATTGTGTATATAGTTTACCAGACACAGGGGCATATAGCTTTGCATAGTTTTCTTGTAGAAAATATACTCATGCAGGTAACAAGACCATATTATTGGACTACATGACAACAAGTCACAATATATATCTTCCAATATACCAGGTCTCTATATGATATCTAAACTTGTTATATACTTAGCAGTGCATCATTTTAAATAGAATTTGGGATTTCAAAGAAAGGATTATCTGCATCAAAAATTATCTAAAGTGATTATGCTCAATAAACAATATATAATTATTAACACTAGAAAGAAGGAAATTAGTTTTTTGCATTAAAAAGAAATCTATGTTATATTAAGTGGCTAAGTTAGTCATGATTTTTTTTTCAATGGATTTTAAAACAAGTTACTATCATAATTTGAAGAAAAAAATGAGAGAAAAATATTTATCAAAATGTAATTTACATGTAAATAATTTTTTTAGTTAAATAAAGAGAAAAACAAATTCCAATATTCCAGAAAAAATAATGCCCATTATAAATATGTATTTATATTCAATAACAAATAAATACAAACAAAATTTAGAACCATTAATATATATTTTGATTTACGCATAAAGAATCTGGATGAATATTTTTAAAGCATTTCGATTAAGTAAAGGTGCACTGAAAGCAAAATTGTCAACCAATTGAGTTATTTGTTTGACTATTACATTGAACTTTATCCTGAAGGCTTCACTGTTGAATAAACATATCTCTCTCTTATATGAGTTTATCAAACTTGAACTATGCTATTTAGCCAGGCAAACTGCAACAGGATCATGTATTGAGTATTTCTCTGACCCATGTTATGAGTTACTTAATACATGGGTTTACGCATAGATTTTGCTTGTCTCCATAACAACGTACAACTTGATTTGGACGCAAGGGACAGTTGACTTGAGGGGTGACCTATGGTATCAAGCCTAAAATTCTGACTTTAAGTTGGGACAGTTGACTTGAGGGGTGACCTATGGTATCAAGCCTAAAATTCTGACTTTAAGTTGGGACAGTTGACTTGAGGGGTGACCTATGGTATCAATCCTAAAATTCTGACTTTAAGTTGGGACAGTTGACTTGAGGGGTGACCTATGGTATCAAGCCTAAAATTCTGACTTTTAGTTAACAAGGGTGGTTCAAGTGTCCCACGTATACACACATTTATTAAGGACAAACAAAAGTGATTACTCCGAAAATATTTTCAAGATGAGGAGATTAAAAAAAGTTAAATGTAGAACTATAATTACTTTTTGTATAGTTCCCATAATCCAATAAGTATTAGGATAATATATTTTTAAATTGAATATACATAAAATTGCAAGTTATACAAGTTTTAAGCCAGCTATTGTTTTATTTCTAATATAATGTAAAATTATAATAATTTACTACACTTTTGTCTAGAAAAGCTAATACAAAGATAATGACAAATCAGAGGTTCTCCAATGTTTCAATATAATTATTATTTAAATTTGATATTTGTATTAATATAATTAACTTTAGAAGCAATCGTGTATTTAATCAAGTTTTTTGGGTTTTATCTAATCTATTTTAAAAAATAATTTTTAAATAAAAAATTTGAATAAAATAATTTTATAAAACTTTGAGAACCTCTGAAAATGATAGACAGGTGGTGTTAAACTGCCTGCCACTGAGAGCTAGAGAAAGTAACTTAATTTCTACCCTTTCTTCGGATCAGGGGATTCACGGGTTGATGATCTGGAATTTCTCCCACTTTTGCTGGAAATAGCATTGGCATTCAAATCAACATGACAACATGTCTTGTGGCCCACAAAAAATTTTTCAATAGGTAAAGTGTGCAAATAAGATACGAAAAAAATCTTGTATATAGTAGAATTATTTATAAAAATTTTTTTTAAAAGTTATAGCAAGCTTTGAAAAAATGCATATGCCTACCTGGGTGCTTGATATGAGATGAATTAAATTAAAATAGGGTGTAAAAAAAAAAAACAATGTAAAGAGATTATATACACATACATAAATAGTAATACCTGATTTATACAACTGATTAGAATATTTTTAACGTATTGCAATATTATTAGCTTATGAGATCACTTCCTTTAAAGATAGTTTAGGTACAAATAAACTTGAAGTACATATTTGACTTCCCTCCCCTTCTGTAATTGTTTATGCACCCCACTTATATCTTGGCTATATATGTATGTGTATATAATAATTTTATAAAAACTATTTGGTGCGGTTTCATAGAAGTGCACATTAAAGCATTTCCCTTTCATAAAAAAAACTAATAATTTATTACATGTAAGAGGGAATTTTTTAAAATGCATTTAAGAATTCTGGAAAAAGTCCAAATTCACAAACTAAAGTGAACTAATTTACATTGTGTTCAAACATTCCTAATTAGACTTACAATCTAGGCTCTTTAGAAGATCTAGTAGCTTTAGTAGTTGATTCTTTCACTCCCTTTAGGGACTCAGTTTTAGGTGTGTCGGTATCACTTTTATTGGCAGCCAATGGGGTCGCAATGGGTTCAGGATTTCTGAAAAGTTAAGTTTTTCAGCTTCAAAAACTATATTAAAAAAATACATAACAAAGCTGAGCTTAATGGGGCCAATAAAATTCCTAGGCGAAACTCTGCTTATCAAGTCATGTAAGATTTCAAGTCAAGTAAGATTTCAAGTCATGCAAGATTTCAAGTCAAATAAGATTTCAAGTCATGTAAGATTTCAAGTCGTGTAAGATTTCAAGTCGGGCAAGATTACAAGTCATGTAAGATTTCAAGTCAAATAAGATTTCAAGTCATGTAAGATTTCAAGTCAAGTAAGATTTCAAGTTATGTCAGATTTCAAGTCATGTAAGATTTCAAGTCATGCAAGATTACAAGTCATGTAATAAGATTTCAGACACTTACTCATCAACGTGTGCCCATTTAGCATTTACTAATAAAACAGGTCTCTTGTCATTCATTTCCTGTGCGCAATATTCTTCTAGAGTTTTGAATGGTGTCCCTTGCTTTAGCTTGCCACAGTCAAAGAATCCATCTTCTATTAAGTTTCCAGGACCTACGTTTTTGGGAAATTTCAAGAAAGTAATATAAAACTTTGAATTGGAGGGTTAAAAACGTATAAAAAAAACAAAATATTCAAGGTTTAAGTAGAAAATGGTATAATTTAAAAAAAACTATTAAACAGGCATGTATGAATGTCTATTAATTAATAACTTTATGACACATTAATTTTTTAAGCACATTATTTTTACAGTATTTTATTTCCTTTATAAACAAAAAAAATTGATTCGGCCAATAGCAGGGTATTTACGTAAAATACTATTGTGGGCATAGTAACAACAAGATAGGGCGGACTAATAAACACTAGAAGCCTCATTATGGGCTTAAATATCTTCATATGTTAGACACTGTAACTAAGTTTTTTTATTTGATTCCATTTTTTAAAAATATTTTTAAAAACTAAGCTTCATACAAGAGGTTGGCCTTTACTAAAGAGAGTTTGTGCACCTGCTTACCTAAATGATTGTATAAAGAAAATTTGGCAGATACCTAAATGATTGTATAAAGAAAATTTGGCAGATACCTAAATGATTGTATAAAGAAAATTTGGCAGATACCTAAATGATTGTATAAAGAAAATTTGGCAGATACCTAAATGATTGTATAAAGAAAATTTGGCAGATACCTAAATGATTGTATAAAGAAAATTTGGCAGATACCTAAATGATTGTATAAAGAAAATTTGGCAGATACCTAAATGATTGTATAAAGAAAATTTGGCAGATACCTAAATGATTGTATAAAGAAAATTTGGCAGATACCTAAATGATTGTATAAAGAAAATTTGGCAGATACCTAAATGATTGTATAAAGAAAATTTGGCAGATACCTAAATGATTGTATAAAGAAAATTTGGCAGATACCTAAATGATTGTATAAAGAAAATTTGGCAGATACCTAAATGATTGTATAAAGAAAATTTGGCAGATACCTAAATGATTGTATAAAGAAAATTTGGCAGATACCTAAATGATTGTATAAAGAAAATTTGGCAGATACCTAAATGATTGTATAAAGAAAATTTGGCAGATACCTAAATGATTGTATAAAGAAAATTTGGCAGATACCTAAATGATTGTATAAAGAAAATTTGGCAGATACCTAAATGATTGTATAAAGAAAATTTGGCAGATACCTAAATGATTGTATAAAGAAAATTTGGCAGATACCTAAATGATTGTATAAAGAAAATTTGGCAGATACCTAAATGATTGTATAAAGAAAATTTGGCAGATACCTAAATGATTGTATAAAGAAAATTTGGCAGATACCTAAATGATTGTATAAAGAAAATTTGGCAGATACCTAAATGATTGTATAAAGAAAATTTGGCAGATACCTAAATGATTGTATAAAGAAAATTTGGCAGATACCTAAATGATTGTATAAAGAAAATTTGGCAGATACCTAAATGATTGTATAAAGAAAATTTGGCAGATACCTAAATGATTGTATAAAGAAAATTTGGCAGATACCTAAATGATTGTATAAAGAAAATTTGGCAGATACCTAAATGATTGTATAAAGAAAATTTGGCAGATACCTAAATGATTGTATAAAGAAAATTTGGCAGATACCTAAATGATTGTATAAAGAAAATTTGGCAGATACCTAAATGATTGTATAAAGAAAATTTGGCAGATACCTAAATGATTGTATAAAGAAAATTTGGCAGATACCTAAATGATTGTATAAAGAAAATTTGGCAGATACCTAAATGATTGTATAAAGAAAATTTGGCAGATACCTAAATGATTGTATAAAGAAAATTTGGCAGATACCTAAATGATTGTATAAAGAAAATTTGGCAGATACCTAAATGATTGTATAAAGAAAATTTGGCAGATACCTAAATGATTGTATAAAGAAAATTTGGCAGATACCTAAATGATTGTATAAAGAAAATTTGGCAGATACCTAAATGATTGTATAAAGAAAATTTGGCAGATACCTAAATGATTGTATAAAGAAAATTTGGCAGATACCTAAATGATTGTATAAAGAAAATTTGGCAGATACCTAAATGATTGTATAAAGAAAATTTGGCAGATACCTAAATGATTGTATAAAGAAAATTTGGCAGATACCTAAATGATTGTATAAAGAAAATTTGGCAGATACCTAAATGATTGTATAAAGAAAATTTGGCAGATACCTAAATGATTGTATAAAGAAAATTTGGCAGATACCTAAATGATTGTATAAAGAAAATTTGGCAGATACCTAAATGATTGTATAAAGAAAATTTGGCAGATACCTAAATGATTGTATAAAGAAAATTTGGCAGATACCTAAATGATTGTATAAAGAAAATTTGGCAGATACCTAAATGATTGTATAAAGAAAATTTGGCAGATACCTAAATGATTGTATAAAGAAAATTTGGCAGATACCTAAATGATTGTATAAAGAAAATTTGGCAGATACCTAAATGATTGTATAAAGAAAATTTGGCAGATACCTAAATGATTGTATAAAGAAAATTTGGCAGATACCTAAATGATTGTATAAAGAAAATTTGGCAGATACCTAAATGATTGTATAAAGAAAATTTGGCAGATACCTAAATGATTGTATAAAGAAAATTTGGCAGATACCTAAATGATTGTATAAAGAAAATTTGGCAGATACCTAAATGATTGTATAAAGAAAATTTGGCAGATACCTAAATGATTGTATAAAGAAAATTTGGCAGATACCTAAATGATTGTATAAAGAAAATTTGGCAGATACCTAAATGATTGTATAAAGAAAATTTGGCAGATACCTAAATGATTGTATAAAGAAAATTTGGCAGATACCTAAATGATTGTATAAAGAAAATTTGGCAGATACCTAAATGATTGTATAAAGAAAATTTGGCAGATACCTAAATGATTGTATAAAGAAAATTTGGCAGATACCTAAATGATTGTATAAAGAAAATTTGGCAGATACCTAAATGATTGTATAAAGAAAATTTGGCAGATACCTAAATGATTGTATAAAGAAAATTTGGCAGATACCTAAATGATTGTATAAAGAAAATTTGGCAGATACCTAAATGATTGTATAAAGAAAATTTGGCAGATACCTAAATGATTGTATAAAGAAAATTTGGCAGATACCTAAATGATTGTATAAAGAAAATTTGGCAGATACCTAAATGATTGTATAAAGAAAATTTGGCAGATACCTAAATGATTGTATAAAGAAAATTTGGCAGATACCTAAATGATTGTATAAAGAAAATTTGGCAGATACCTAAATGATTGTATAAAGAAAATTTGGCAGATACCTAAATGATTGTATAAAGAAAATTTGGCAGATACCTAAATGATTGTATAAAGAAAATTTGGCAGATACCTAAATGATTGTATAAAGAAAATTTGGCAGATACCTAAATGATTGTATAAAGAAAATTTGGCAGATACCTAAATGATTGTATAAAGAAAATTTGGCAGATACCTAAATGATTGTATAAAGAAAATTTGGCAGATACCTAAATGATTGTATAAAGAAAATTTGGCAGATACCTAAATGATTGTATAAAGAAAATTTGGCAGATACCTAAATGATTGTATAAAGAAAATTTGGCAGATACCTAAATGATTGTATAAAGAAAATTTGGCAGATACCTAAATGATTGTATAAAGAAAATTTGGCAGATACCTAAATGATTGTATAAAGAAAATTTGGCAGATACCTAAATGATTGTATAAAGAAAATTTGGCAGATACCTAAATGATTGTATAAAGAAAATTTGGCAGATACCTAAATGATTGTATAAAGAAAATTTGGCAGATACCTAAATGATTGTATAAAGAAAATTTGGCAGATACCTAAATGATTGTATAAAGAAAATTTGGCAGATAAGTTGCTGTCTAGTAACCTCTGCAGGGCGGCCTCAATAAATGGGTTGTGTCTGGAGGCTGAGGTTTGAATATCTTGCAAAATGTGGAGTCCACTGTGGAGTTGACATGAGGACCTCATGTTTAGCTCAATGAGTTTTAAGGGGTTTTAATGCGGCATGACACAATAAAACTTAGTCAACCATGTAGATTTTGTACATAAGCTTTAAACAAAAGAATACACCAGAAGCAAAAAGTTATAAGTAATTGCATCAAACCCCAGCAACTAATGATTTGAAATGAAAAAAGTGACGGTACCCAAGTTTACAGATCTCCGTGGCCGTTGGTTCATCCACCCCACACACTGTTATAGCCCAGGCAGCATTTCTTCTCACCTCATCATTGCCAGAGTGGAGTAGAAGGACCAGTGGTTCTAGACCACCAGACTCTCGAAACTACAAGGCAAACAAGGCCTAATATATCAAACTTCACAACACAATAATAGCGTGAACATGTCCTCTCAAAGCAACAAGTCAAATAAAACCTAATAAATAAAATTTAGCACATAAGAAAATACATAAACATGGTCTCTCAAAACTACAAGGTAAACTAGGCTTAAGTTACCAAATATGGGACGGAATGGTCTCGCGTTAGAGAGCTTGACTGCTAACCCGCAAGTCTCGAGTTCGAATCCGGGTTCAAGCCAGTAGACCATCCCTGAGTCCACCCAACTCTGATGGGTACCTAACTCATGTTAGGGAAAGTAAAGGCGGCTGGGCATATTGCTGACCACACTATCTCTTCATATGCAGAGGTCAAAGAAACAAGTTAACTCTACTTCACTTGCCCCGCAGACCATCAGGTTTGAAAGGGAAACTTTACTTTTACTTTAATTTACCAAATACATGAATATACATCAACTTGGCCTTCCTAAAGTACAAGTTAAACTAGGCCTAATATGTCAAATTTTAGAATACAACAACATACACAAAAATGGCCTCTCAAAACTACAAGTTAAACTAGGCTTAAGTTACCAAATACAATAATATACATAAATATGGCCTTCCTAAAATACAAGTCAAATAAGGCTTAATATTTCAAACTTCACATGGAATATACATAAATATGGCCGTCCTAAAATACAAGTTAGACAATGCTGAAACAATCAAGCTTCAGAACATAAGAATTTATATTAATTTCAGTATTATATATCAATGAGTAACTTTTGTTTTAATGTATTTGAATAAATAACAAAGATTACTGTATAAAGTCACTTGATATAATCCTGTTCATATCTTGTTTTTTTTGACCAATTAGCATTTATATTGTTAAGTTTAGTGTTTATGTGAATCAGCATTCTGATTTCAATGTGTCTGGCATTAAAGTTGTGACAGCTTGGATAAAACAGAGAAACTAGGCTGTTCTATGAAAGCTCCCTCACTCCCTGTGTAAACTCCCTACCTATGTAACAGCTCCCTACCTATGCAAGAGCTACCTCCCTTTGTAAGCACATCCCTCTCCACTTGAACCCCCTTTCTCCTTGTATAAGAGCACCCCCCTCTCTGTTAGCTCCCTCTGACAACTACTTAACAAGGGTGTTTAACAAGGCCATGCCTAACATACCTTAGCACAGTACACAGCTTTTAAAACAAAATGGGAAAACAAAAAAAGAACACACACAACGAAACAAATATCAACTTACGAAACAAATATCAATTTACGACCCTACCTCATCTCTTGAATCAGCATCGCAGGTAAAGGCAGACACAGCCAGCGCAACTTTGCTCTGTACATTTGTGTTGCTGGAATAGGAGTTTAATTCAATGATGATAACAGTTAGGTATTTACTGTTTGAATTTCAAAAATAGTTTTTACAGTTAATTGTGCAATAGGGTCATATTGAATTAATATAATTAAGAGTGGGAATATTTTTTGATAAAGGTGTAAAATTTAGTTTTTAAATGTAGAAATAGTTTGAAACTTTAAAAAGTTAACATAAAAAAATAAACTTATAGGGTTTTAAATGGGGGAATGCTTGCATGCCTTACTGAGAGGTCAAAGTATGAATGAGTGCATGACTTACTGAGAGGTCAAGGGGTGAATGGGTGCATGACTTACTGAGAGGTCAAGGGGTGAATGACTGCATGACTTACTGAGAGGTCAAGGGGTGAATGGGTGCATGACTTACTGAGAGGTCAAGGGGTGAATGAGTGCATGACTTACTGAGAGGTCAAGGGGTGAATGGGTGCATGACTTACTGAGAGGTCAAGGGGTGAATGAGTGCATGACTTACTGAGAGGTCAAGGGGTGAATGACTGCATGACTTACTGAGAGGTCAAGGGGTGAATGGGTGCATGACTTACTGAGAGGTCAAGGGGTGAATGAGTGCATGACTTACTGAGAGGTCAAGGGGTGAATGGGTGCATGACTTACTGAGAGGTCAAGGGGTGAATGAGTGCATGACTTACTGAGAGGTCAAGGGGTGAATGGGTGCAGAGGTCAAGGGGTGAATGGGTGCATGACTTACTGAGAGGTCAAGGGGTGAATGACTGCATGACTTACTGAGAGGTCAAGGGGTGAATGGGTGCAGAGGTCAAGGGGTGAATGGGTGCATGACTTACTGAGAGGTCAAGGGGTGAATGGGTGCAGAGGTCAAGGGGTGAATGGGTGCATGACTTACTGAGAGGTCAAGGGGTGAATGGGTGCAGAGGTCAAGGGGTGAATGGGTGCATGACTTACTGAGAGGTCAAGGGGTGAACGAGTGCATGACTTACTGAGAGGTCAAGGGGTGAATGGGTGCATGACTTACTGAGAGGTCAAGGGGTGAATGGGTGCATGACTTACTGAGAGGTCAAGGGGTGAATGGGTGCATGACTTACTGAGAGGTCAAGGGGTGAATGAGTGCATGACTTACTGAGAGGTCAAGGGGTGAATGGGTGCATGACTTACTGAGAGGTCAAGGGGTGAATGGGTGCATGACTTACTGAGAGGTCAAGGGGTGAATGAGTGCATGACTTACTGAGAGGTCAAGGGGTGAATGAGTGCATGACTTACTGAGAGGTCAAGGGGTGAATGAGTGCATGACTTACTGAGAGGTCAAGGGGTGAATGAGTACAGAGGTCAAGGGGTGAATGGGTGCATGACTTACTGAGAGGTCAAGGGGTGAATGGGTGCATGACTTACTGAGAGGTCAAGGGGTGAATGGGTGCATGACTTACTGAGAGGTCAAGGGGTGAATGAGTGCATGACTTACTGAGAGGTCAAGGGGTGAATGGGTGCATGACTTACTGAGAGGTCAAGGGGTGAATGGGTGCATGACTTACTGAGAGGTCAAGGGGTGAATGAGTGCATGACTTACTGAGAGGTCAAGGGGTGAATGGGTGCATGACTTACTGAGAGGTCAAGGGGTGAATGAGTGCATGACTTACTGAGAGGTCAAGGGGTGAATGAGTGCATGACTTACTGAGAGGTCAAGGGGTGAATGGGTGCATGACTTACTGAGAGGTCAAGGGGTGAATGAGTGCATGACTTACTGAGAGGTCAAAGGGTGAATGAGTGCATGACTTACTGAGAGGTCAAGGGGTGAATGAGTGCATGACTTACTGAGAGGTCAAGGGGTGAATGAGTGCATGACTTACTGAGAGGTCAAGGGGTGAATGAGTACAGAGGTCAAGGGGTGAATGGGTGCATGACTTACTGAGAGGTCAAGGGGTGAATGAGTGCATGACTTACTGAGAGGTCAAGGGGTGAATGAGTACAGAGGTCAAGGGGTGAATGGGTGCATGACTTACTGAGAGGTCAAGGGGTGAATGAGTGCATGACTTACTGAGAGGTCAAGGGGTGAATGAGTACAGAGGTCAAGGGGTGAATGGGTGCATGACTTACTGAGAGGTCAAGGGGTGAATGAGTGCAGGGATGACTCCTCTGGATTGTGCCTCAGTCCTCAGTCCCTCGTCCTGAGCCATGTTTGTCAGGGTACAGGCAGCGTTAGCAATCACTTCCTCTCTTACCTCCCCTAGACAGGACAACAGCCCATCTATTCCCCCCAGTCGACTTATTTCACTGGATGAATAAATAAAATAACGTCATTGTATTCAATGTTTTAGGTTACAATAGAGAAACTGTACACAGCTTATGTAACATGACTTTCATGTTCTCAATGTAAATAGATAATGTAGCACATAAGTAATGTAGCACATAAGTAATGTAGCACATAAGTAATGTAGCACATAAGTAACGCAGTACATAAGTAATGCAGCACATAAATAACACAGCACATAAGTAACACAGAACATAAGTAACACAGCACATAAGTAACACAGCACATAAGTAACACAGCATATAAGTAACACAGCACAGAAGTAATGTAGCACATAAGTAATGTAGCACATAAGTAATGCAGCACTTAAGTAGCACAGCAAATAAGTAACGTACATGCAATTTTTATTATTTGCTGTTGTCAAGTTGGCCAATGCTAATGTAACCGCCTCCTTTACGTCTCCATTTTCTGAATCTAGTAGCTTCACCAAGGGGGGAAGTCCACCTAAGAAATATAATCTTATATAATATACTATTTTAACATTATGACAAAAAGTACATTGTAATACTTAACATTCATCACTGTATTAAAACTACCATCTTACATAACTCATTATTTTAGCATTATGACAAAAAGTACCCCACTCTATGATGGGGTCCCTAGAACTCAACACAACATACCACACTCTTTGATGGCCCTTCAACACAACATACCACACTCTTTGACGGCCCTTCAACACAACGTACCCCACTCTTTGATGGCCCCTCAACACAACGTACCCCACTCTTTGATGGCCCCTCAACACAACATACCCCACTCTTTGATGGGGTCCCTAGAACCCAACACAACATACCCCACTCTTTGATGGCCCCTCAACACAACATACCCCACTCTTTGATGGCCCCTCAACACAACATACCCCACTCTGTGATGGCCCCTCAACACAACATACCCCACTCCTTGATGGAGTCCCTAGAACTCAGGTGCTCAGCTATCACAGCGATGGCCAGAGCCGCAGATGCTTGCACGTCCTGCGAGTCATGAGAGAGGAGGGAGATCAACATCTTCTCTGCCTCTTGGTCATGCAATAACTTACGGTTCTCAGCTGGGGGTTAAAGGTCAGATTGTTTGTAAACGTTATGTGTAAGATACAAGACAATTGGTGGTCTAGACAATAAAGTTGTATGCTCAGAAAGGTCTAGACAACATGGCTGTACACTGAGAGAGGTCTAGACAACATGGGTGTACACTGAGAGAGGTCTAGACAACATGGTTGTGTACTGAGAGAGGTCTAGACAACATGGTTGTACACTGAGAGAGGTCTAGTCTAGACAACATGGTTGTACACTGAGAGAGGTCTAGACAACATGGTTGTACACTGAGAGAGGTCTAGACAACATGGGTGTACACTGAGAGAGGTCTAGACAACATGGTTGTACACTGAGAGAGTCTAGACAACATGGTTGAACACTGAGAGAGGTCTAGACAACATGGTTGTACACTGAGAGAGGTCTAGACAACATGGTTGTACACTGAGAGAGGTCTAGACAACATGGTTGTACACTGAGAGAGGTCTAGACAACATGGTTGTACACTGAGAGAGGTCTAGACAACATGGTTGTACACTGAGAGAGGTCTAGTCTAGACAACATGGTTGTACACTGAGAGAGGTCTAGACAACATGGTTGTACACTGAGAGAGGTCTAGACAACATGGTTGTACACTGAGAGAGGTCTAGACAACATGGTTGTACACTGAGAGAGGTCTAGACAACATGGTTGTACACTGAGAGAGGTCTAGACAACATGGTTGTACACTGAGAGAGGTCTAGTCTAGACAACATGGTTGTACACTGAGAGAGGTCTAGACAACATGGTTGTACACTGAGAGAGGTCTAGACAACATGGTTGTGTACTGAGAGAGGTCTAGTCTAGACAACATGGTTGTACACTGAGAGAGGTATAGACAACATGGTTGTACGCAGAGAGAGGTCTAGACAACATGGTTGTACACTGAGAGAGGTCTAGACAACATGGTTGTACACTGAGAGAGGTCTAGACAACATGGTTGTACACTGAGAGAGGTCTAGACAACATGGTTGTAGACTGAGAGAGGTCTAGACAACATGGTTGTACACTGAGAGAGGTCTAGACAACATGGTTGTACACTGAGAGAGGTCTAGACAACATGGTTGTACACTGAGAGAGGTCTAGACAACATGGTTGTACACTGAGAGAGGTCTAGACAACATGGTTGTACACTGAGAGAGGTCTAGACAACATGGGTGTACACTGAGAGAGGTCTAGACAACATGGTTGTACACTGAGAGAGGTCTAGACAACATGGTTGTACACTGAGAGAGGTCTAGACAACATGGTTGTACACTGAGAGAGGTCTAGACAACATGGTTGTGTACTGAGAGAGGTCTAGACAACATGGTTGTACACTGAGAGAGGTCTAGACAACATGGTTTTACACTGAGAGAGGTCTAGACAAAAACATATGTACCGGAGAAGTCCTAAACTCTGAGAACCTTGGAGAAAACCAACAAAGCCATAGACAAAGGTGGTAGATTTGTGTAATAGAGAAATTAATGTTAACTTCAAAACTTAAGTGTTAATACATCAGAATGGATAGCATTCACATGTGGTTTATTATACATGTTAAATACTATGCATCTGTAAGAGCATGTTTGATTATATGTAAAGAGAACAGCAATACAATTTCGAACACTAAGAGCTCACCCAAAGATTTACCATTTATAGTTAAAGCCCCAGAGATTTACCATCTATACTTAAAAACTCCAAATATTTACCATTTCTAGCTGATCTAGCAATAGCTCTTGCAGCGCAGACTTTAACATCAGGTAAAGTGGGGATGATGGAGTCGCCTCCCATTGTGGCATCATCTTTAGCATCATCCTCCTTCTTACCTTTAGCTGAAAGTAAGTTTTAGTTTGTTTCAAAGCTTCTGGGGCGGTAAATCTATCACTTTTTATAAATTGCTGTTGGTAAAAATTAGTAATATATCTGATCAAACAAACAAATATTTTCCTGAAGGATATTTATATTTTTTATTCAGTGATTATAACTATGTTAATGTTCTAAGTTAAGAAAAAAATATAATCCAATGTATTACTTATATAATTTTTATACATGTAATATTGTTACACCTGAACACAGAAAATATTGTGCTGTCAACAGTTACCTGAACAGACACTGAAACAAAAACAAAAGCAGGACTTACAATCTTTAGCACTCTTCTTAGGAGCCTTAACAGCAGATTTTTTACTATCTCTCTTTGTTTCATCTTCAGGGGGTAAAGCATCAGTGATCAGACAGATAAAACGTTTGAGTCCCCCATTGTCTCGCACCAGCTGGTTTCATGGAATGGATTATAGAGTTGGCAGTTGAAATTATTGAATGGATTATAGAGTTGGCAGTTGAAAGTATTGAATGGATTATATAGTTGGAAGTTGAAATTACTGAATGGATTATATAGTTGGCAGTTGAAATTACTGAATGGATTATATAGTTGGAAGTTGAAATTACTGAATGGATTATATAGTTGGAAGTTGAAATTACTGAATGGATTATATAGTTGGAAGTTGAAATTATTGAATGGATTATATAGTTGGCAGTTGAAATTACTGAATGGATTATATAGTTGGCAGTTGAAATTATTGAATGGATTATATAGTTGGCAGTTGAAATTATTGAATGGATTATATAGTTGGCAGTTGAAATTACTGAATGGATTATATAGTTGGCAGTTGAAATTATTGAATGGATTATATAGTTGGCAGTTGAAATTATTGAATGGATTATATAGTTGGCAGTTGAAATTATTGAATGGATTATATAGTTGGCAGTTGAAATTACTGAATGGATTATATAGTTGGAAGTTGAAATTATTGAATGGATTATATAGTTGGCAGTTGAAATTATTGAATGGATTATATAGTTGGCAGTTGAAATTATTGAATGGATTATATAGTTGGAAGTTGAAATTATGAAATGGATTATATAGTTGGCAGTTGAAATTACTGAATGGATTATATAGTTGGCAGTTGAAATTACTGAATGGATTATGTAAACGAAGTTAAAATTACTGATTCGATTATATGTCAGAAGTTGAAATTACTGAATGGATTATGTGACAGAAGTTGAAATTACTGAATGAATTATGTGACAGAAGTTGAAATTACTGAATGGATTATATGTCAGAAGTTGAAATTACTGAATGGATTATATGTCAAAGTTGAAATTACTAAAAGATTACATTAGCACAAGTTGAAATTAATAATCATTACTAGAATGGATAATTAAATCATTTTAATAGCATATATATTGTTAAGATAAAATACATATAATTCAAAACATGTTATATGAGTTATAGTTATTTTAAAGGGAGGAATATAGGACTGGTGAGTAGCCATTTTGGTGGTGGGATTTTATTTACATTTCATTAACTGATAATCATTACAATAATGATTAGGATTACAATAATAATTAGGATGATGATAATGACAATGTAACAATTATGAATATGATTAACCTCTAGGCTCTCTGGGTCCTCAAGCAGGTTAGACAACACCATGACCACCATGACATGTAGGTCATTCAGGGTTGGTTGAGCGAGGATGTCAAGAAGTTTTGAAATGGCATCAATTTCTCTTAGAGTTCTTCTGTTTTCACCTTGATCAAACAAAATAAATAATCAAAACCTTTTGGTTTTTTAATTTGCATTCATTGTTCCACTAAATTATACTTTTTATCAGATATTTGTGTGTTGATTTTCTATGTAAACGTACCATCTTGTGTGAGTCTGTCCAAGGAGAGCAGAGCCAGCCTTTGAATGATAGCGTATTCTGATTTGATCAGTTCTAAGATAGGTGACAACCCACCATACTCTCTCACACTAGCTCTTGCTTTGTAGTCCTGGGAACATCAAACATTGTATACAATTTATCCACATTTCCGTAAAAAAATATTTTCACACCAGTGTATATAATGCCAATACAATAGACCTTGGTCCTTACACCCATATCTGCTCTGGGATTTCTACTGGTAAAGTTAACTGGTTGAAATTGGAATGAAAAATCAAAACTAAAGAATAACAATCAAAAAGTAACTTACAAACTGTTGACAATTATAGATTTAAATTCAAAAGCAAATTTACCATAACCATCTGTGCAATAGCTTCAATTGAATTTTTCTGTACATCAGGATCAGTTGAACCCAACAGTCTTATGAGAGGCTCCATCCCATTGGCTGTTTGTATGGCTACTTTACTGGTAAACTCGGTTGCCATTAATGATAAAGCAAGGGCAGCAAACTCATGAATAACAGAATCTTCTGTAAAAAAATTGTTAAAATCTGAATTAGAGGCAGGCCTTTCCATTTTTTGGAAAAATTGTAAACTTAAATATAAAATTAGAATTGGGTTTGTAAGATCAAGATATAATTAAACCTAAAGATTTAAAATTATTATGTGTGATTAATTACTTGTTAAAAAAAGCATATATTTAGTACCTTCAGGACTTAATAAACAAACAAAAGCATAAGTGGAATTCGGTCTTTTCCGCAAAGCTTTGCGAACATCAGCTTAAAGATAATGTTAATATTTACATTTAGTTACAATCAAAATTTTTATCTACTTAAAAATTAGTTTGCAATAAGTTTTTCAATGCATAAAAGGTTTACAGTAAAAACAAAATTAAATGAGTCATCATAATTTGTAAAAAAAAAATACTTTCAGAAAAAATAGACAAACTATATTTTTCAAGAATAGGGTTAAATATATTTTCAAATAGGTATATTTACGATGAGCACACATTACGCCCAAGGCCATAATTGCATGTCGCCTGACTGTTCTATCATGACCTTCTATCAGGGTAAGCAAAGGGTCAATTGTACCAAGGTCAAGTAGCATTTTTTTGTTTTCATCACCTAAGAATATTTGTACAAATATATTGCAAATATGATTATTTTAAATACTCTGAAAATTTAAACTATTAATGTACATGAGTTTAATGTATCAATCTCACATTTGTCTACAAATTTGTAGATAGCCTCGCATGCTTTAGACTGGACATCTTCTTCTGGACTAGAAAGCATCAATACCACAGTAGCAGCCTGTCGACTCTCAACCAGCAGTGTATCAAACTATTTAAAACAAAAATTAAACAGCAATTACCTTTTGGTTTCATCTGTTTTATATGTATAAATACTTTAAAAGTTTCAAGACTAATATATTTTGAAATTCTAACAATATTTGAACCATTTAATGTTACTATTGATTCATATTTAAACAGAGGCGTAGCCAGGACGAGGCAGGGGGTGCGGGCCGCAACGGGTGACACCATTTAGGGGGTGACATATATATATATATATATATATATATATATATATATATATTGTTTCTTGGGGGGGGGGGGGGGGGGGGGGGTGACACATGTGAACATAAAGACAACATCAACATTATTAAAAAAGACACATTTAAAACATAAAATCTTTTGATTAAACAGTTTGTGTTAAAACCAAGCACAATAATGCATGTGAATGTGTAATCTACCTTCAGTAAAATAAACTAGTTTAGATAATCAAATTTTTATAAATGAAAACAATTGTACCAAGATATTTATATATTCTTTATTTATAATCTATCTATATAATACTAAAGTTAGTTTATATGTATAAATAGTTTTTTTGTTTGCCTTTTTGTTACAGGAGCGAACTATGTGTAGAGCTGTACCATACGTAATTAAGTAGAGAATAATTTTCTTTTTAAACAAACTGTCAATCACTAATTAATTTAAAGACGTTAATTAATTTATTATAATAGTGACCTAGAGTGGGCATTCACATCAAACAGTAAAAAACTCCAAAGTACACCATAAACTATAATTTAAGTCATACTAATTAAATGTATGTTGAGAACATTTTAGAATTGTAAGTGTGATTGAAAATAATAAACTTGTTTTTTCCTTCCAAGTGAAAACATGAACATTTTAAAATTTTAACACATTTTACTCACACTCTGACCAGAAGAAAACTGCATATATCAGAAAAGTTTATTTTCAGAAATTTTTAAATAAATGATCAATAGGCCTACTATAAATTTGAGAAGGCCTATAAATAACATTTAGATTTATAATTTCTTTTTACAAAAACAAAATATTAAATTGCGTTTTCTACTAATGACAGTGTTAAAAGTTAATTATTTCAACTTACAACATCATTTGATCCTCCTTTTTCATCTTTTTTTATTTTTTTACCCATTTTAGATCAGTACTGTAAAGTAAATTGGATAAAAGGACATGAAAGTTAACCTGTGAAATTGATAAAATAATAAAATAATAATTACTAAACTATAAGGAAGTGATTATTTGGACCGTGAAAAAATAAAATTGATGAAAAAATAAAATAATAATTACTAAACTATAAGGAAGTGACTATTTGGACCAGTGTCCTAAAAGCCTCAGCCGCTATTAGGATCCAGGTCCCTATAGCCATGGCCACTACTCAGACCGGCAATAATTTTGTTACATATCCGTACAACCTGTATTAAAATTATACCTTTTATGTTTATTTGATTTATCTTGTGGATTTGCTAGCATTAGTTCTTAAGTTGCTATTTCTAAATACTCTATATTTAGCTCTATTTAAAAAAAATCATTAAATATTTTATTATTTTATCATAAGACGTCGTGGCCAAGTGGAGAACGTCATGCCTCCCAAAACTCGATCAGTTACGGGTTCGGAACCTATCTAAGCTAGGAGTACTCTGGTAGATCTAAAACAGTCAGTTTTTGCGAGAAGTAAAGTGTATTTAACTAAGTTTAATGTTCTACCCCGATAGATGCGTTGTTTGAATAAATGTTTTTTTTTAAATTGTTTTTTATAGATTCTATTCTTTTTCTAGATCTAGGTTTTTAAACAAGCGAATTATAAACATCATTGCTCCATTGATCGCCCGCTTTTGTCAGGAATGATATCGGGTATTTAAAGCTCTCAATATATCATTTAGAATTACAATAAAAAAATCACAACAAAAGAAAAGATAATATTATAAGATATATTCTGCATCATAAAAGAATTACTGTTTAACTAAATCTTGATAATTTTATTTGCTGGTCCGAATGTGGCAGAGGCTATAAGGACCTGGGTCCCAATAGCGGCCGTTGCTATTGGGACCTGGGTCCGAAAAGATGAATCCAAACTATGAACTCTAAGAGGTATAAAATAAACTTACTAGCCTAATTACTAATTTAATTAATAATTATAGGTGGCATAAATAATAACCAACAATTGGTAATCTATCGTTTTAGGTACGTAAAATCGCCCGCTGCTAGTAATGTACAAAAAAGTTACCTCATTGTCAAGGCTTTAATAGAATTATATTGTGATATATTTGTGTCAAATATTATAGATAAATGAATAATAAACCTAAATCAATGGCTAAATATATCAATATAGGCAAGAAATTAACTTTAAACAGCAGTGTTTGCGAGCAGGATTTGCTCTTTAAAAAGCAGCCATCTGTAAGTTAGAGTGACTTCCCCTGAATCTTGCGCTATAAGTTTACAATAAAAAAAATAAACAAGATGGCTGATATAGTAAATGAGCATGGTTACATCTGTTGGAAACATCACTAGTCTTCATTTATTACTGAAAAGTTTTAATGCAGTTGTTTAAAAACAGGTACATAAAAGAAACAAGGAAACATTTTTGTATTTTTCAAAACATAAATCCTCCTCAAAATGTGAAATAATTATTAAATTTAAGGAGTCACCTGTTTTTCACATTACTAGTGGCGGGCGATTTTACGTACCTAAACCGATAGATTACCCAACAATTTTTCCTGTTATATAAATTAAATTTATTAAATTATAATCTACATAGTACATAGGCCCTAGGCCTAATAATATTATTTAATATTAATTCAATAATATTATTCAAAATACGCATACCTTTGATTACCTTAAAAAAAAAGCTCGCAGATATTCTAGTCTGTCTAAATATCAATATTATTATTTAAAATGCTTTTTTTTTTATCTAGAAAAAGTAATGCTTCAGAAAACCGGAAGTTGACATCCGTTGCTATATGACGTATATTTGATGTTAAAAGAATAAACAGAATAAGTTAAAAAGATTAACTTATTCACAATTCGGACAACTAAACCTAAATTTAGCTTTATAATATTAACAAGTCCAGTTCATCCACAACTAATTCTTAAAAAAAATAGATCTAGATTTATGACTTTTAAAAATAGAATTTACATTTACATTAATATTCTCTTTTTTGTTAAAAAAAACATTGAAAAATGCATCATAGATTTAGATCTAGTAGATTGTTGGCCCTACTGGAATTCCCGTTTTTCAAAAATAGATTCACATAGATCTGGTATTCATAGCTACTGCAAGGTAGCTCAGTGATTTCGTCATAGACTTTATTCATAGGCGTAGAATAAGCTCCACCCCCACAACCATTAAAAATAAAAGTAAAATAATCCACATCTGTGCAAACTGTAAATATTAAAAGAATTATTTTTATAAGGCCTAGAGTCTATAATATAGACTAAATATTTTTGCCAGAAATTTATTGAAACTAAACTGGGTTCGCCAGGATCACACCGCAGCCTCCATTCCCCTCATTCTCCCACCCCTTTAAAAAATATGTTTCTTTCTAAAATATTGGTTGAGAATGGTAAAATAGAGTTTATTAATCATTTTCTAATACGATTTTCAAAGAACGCGAAAAAAAAAGTTTTTAACATTAATTCTGAACAGTGCGACGTCATGTATGGACGGACCATCGGTCCCTAAGCCTATGCCAACATTTTCTCCCCATTAGGTCACGCCTTTGCAGCCTCAAACTAAAATGTGATGAAATTTTTTGCCGCGGTTGCTCTGCATATATGAACTGCGTATATATAGACCAGGCCCTAAGGATGTGTATTTCATGAGACAAACATTTGAAAACAGAATTGACACTAGATCTAGTACAAACAATTTAAGCCCATACAACTAGCAGCAATTGAGCACACATCTTGTTCTTGAATTACTGTTTACGACTGCAGATTAAAGTTTGAACAACAGAGACTAACCGTTCATCAAAAGCTGAATTAACCGTGAATCAAATATCAAGTGACGTCTGCACGTGGGAATCGACACGTTCGATGAGAAAATGGATCCCGTCAGTATGGAAGTTACCCTGGGACCACTAGAAAGCAATGTGCCAAGCAATTCTTCACCAGGTAAGCATACAGCATTACTTTTTAAAGTAGTTTTTTTTTTAGTATTTAGGTCCCATAAAATGTGTATCTCGACAGATGTTAGACAGTTTAATTAGAATTGATTAAAATAGCGACGCGGTGAGGTTTTACGTCACAGCTGAGATATTACAATGGTCGGGTGGTAGATTTCTAGATCTAGAGAGTGCTACTGCTAACACAATTTCTCGAGTTCGTGTCCCAGGGCTTGAGTCTTCCCAGCTCTGATGAGTACCTGACTCTAGTCCACCCAGCTCTGATGGGTACCTGACTCTAGTCCACCCAGCTCTGATGGGTACCTGACTCTAGTCCACCCAGCTCTGATGGGTACCTGACTCTAGTCCACCCAGCTCTGATGGGTACCTGACTCTAGTCCACCCAGCTCTGATGGGTACCTGACTCTAGTCCACCCAGCTCTGATGGGTAACTGACTCTAGTCCACCCAGCTCTGATGGGTACCTGACTCTAGTCCACCCAGCTCTGATGGGTACCTGACTAGTCCACCCAGCTCTGATGGGTACCTGACTCTAGTCCACCCAGCTCTGATGGGTACCTGACTCTAGTCCACCCAGCTCTGATGGGTACCTGACTCTAGTCCACCCAGCTCTGATGGGTAACTGACTCTAGTCCACCCAGCTCTGATGGGTACCTGACTCTAGTCCACCCAGCTCTGATGGGTACCTGACTCTAGTCCACCCAGCTCTGATGGGTACCTGACTCTAGTCCACCCAGCTCTGATGGGTACCTGACTCTAGTCCACCCAGCTCTGATGGGTACCTGACTTAAGTGAACGTTCAAGAGGGCATAGTGCTGACCACACTATCTTTTAATGCCGAAGTCAGAGAAACAGACGAGCTCTACTTCGTCTGCCACATGGACCGCCAGGTTCCAAATAGTAACCTTCAGTGTTTCTTCCAGACTTTTTTCTCCGGATGGGGCACTTGATATTTTCGGTGGAGGGGGGGGGGGGACGACGACGACACTAGTATATATTTTCTATATAAATTCCATTTCGTTCGGGAGGGGGGGGGGGGGGGGCTGTCCGCCGCCCGCCCCCCCCCCCCCAGTAGGGTAGCGGGGGGGGGGGGGGGGGCATATGTCCCCGGGCGCCGACCTTAGGGGGCGCCAAAATGGGTTGGAAAAATAAATTGAAAGGTTGAGGGGGGGGGGTGCAAATCGAAAAGTTTGTCCCCTGGCGCCGGGAAGGGTCGATACGCCTGGAAGAAACTCCCGTAACTTTACATTTATGGGTCTAGAATATCTAACCCTACCCCTAACGTTAACCTATAACGATATTCTCCCGTGGTGATCAGTCTAGCTAGCAGGTCTTGTACTTGGAATGAGTGTCTTACAGGATCTCAGGAGCATTCAACCCCCCCCCCCCCCCCCCCGCACCATTGAAAAATTGGCTGTTGTCTGAGGCTAGTGTGGATCATATTCCAGAACAAGGTTGAAAAAAATAATTGTATTGGGGGAAAAAAAAGATTTAAAGGGAGGTAACCTTTAAAAGGATTTATCGATGTAATTTTAATGAAATGCCTCCCCTGATTGAACACTGCTAAAAATGTCACCTAATGACGTTTTTCTAAGCTTTTAGACTCACCTTTTCTTTAGTTTTTGAAAGCCAAGTGGAAATGCTTTTCAAAATTATATCGAAATTCTAGTTAAAAAAATAATAAAGAATATAAAATAATTGAACATGACCTTGGTTGCTAACATAAAGCATTCTTACAACAACATACACAACAAACCTAGCTAGTAGTAGCTAGACTCGACACTGTCTAACAGAACAACAGTGATGACACACACACAGAGTTTACAGTACTGCATTGCACATAAACACCTTTCATACATTTCACATCACCAAACTGGGTACATCGCACACATCCATTTAAATACAAGTGGATGGGTATATTGTTGAATACATTATCCAATTAAATACAGTGGATGGACATACTGCTGTTAACATTATCTCTTTAAATTAGGTGAATGGGTAAATTGCTGAACCCATTAATTACCCATTCACATACGTAGGTCAAAGAAACAGATAAACTTAACTTCAGATGCATTTTGGGCTGTCCCCTATAAAGGGTGTCTTTTTTTTATATTAGAGGGCCACCCATAAATGACGTCACGTTTTTTTTGAGCGATTTATACCTCCCCCCCCCCCATCCCCTCCGTCACAAAAAGCCAGACCCCTCCCCCTCTCTAAAATTGTTGTTAAATTTTAATAAATTCCTTTTACAATTTATTATAGCAATTTTCTAAACGCGAAATAACGACTAAAACTCGTTTTTTTTATATGCAAAAGTGTGACCATCTGAACACCCCCCCCCCCATCACACACCGTCACAAAATTAGGACCCCTCCCCCCTACGAGTGTGACGTCATTTATGGACAAACCCTAGATACAAAACAGATCTTGTATTGCTTCATTTTGAGTTGCAGACGTAAACATTCTTTTTAAAACATTCTTTTAATAACCATTTTTTCTTATGCAGAACAAAGCACATGGAAAAATAAATTGATGAACTGTATGAACTTCAAGAAAGAAGAGTGTGTAGATTTGGCCAGTAAACCTGGAGATGCTCAACCTGGGCATGACAATACCAGTAACCAAACAAACGGCTTCTGCCACAAGTGGTGTTCTATAAATGTTAACAAAGATTTTTTGGCCATTTTTAAGGAGTTTGATTTTGTTTAAAAATCTGGTTTTACATTGATTTTTAAAATTTTGCTTTGCAATTTGACAAATCTAACAATGTTTTATTTATGATCAGTCAATCAATGAGGTTGGACTAAAATATAACATTCTATTGCTTAATTAGCATTATTCATATTGTTTATAATTTTCTTGGAATGAATTATCTGTGAGAAATATTTTTTTGTGACAACTGTACCAGTGGATCACACTTACTTCCCTTTACCTTGATATACTCAATATGTAGTCTCTTTACTTTTTTATTCATCATGAAAACCTTTGTCCTGCACGTGGCTAGTAGTTTTCAATAATGTTGTCCACTGAAGTTTTCTAATTAATGTAACTGAAATTACTATTGCATGGTGATTTTCTAAATATGATTTAACATGCTTTGTACTGTAGACAAGGCTAGTACTATCTTTAACTACCATGGCTGCACATATCTAAATTCATTATGCCAATTTGGTCAAACCCTTTTCATGCCATATCCTCCACTATAGTTTGTCATTTTTTAAAATTCATGCCTGTCCTGTTTTAAATTTACACTGCATATTAAAAACTATCATCAGAATGCAAGATTGAGGTATGATGTTTGAATTGTTTGGGTTAATGGCCTTCAGCCGAGGTTTTCATGATCAGTTAATGTGAGGCCAAGTTTGCCCACCCTCCCGCAGTTTTGTATGTCTAACAGCCATGACTTCCCTCTTGTGTCTTAAAGTATAGCTTTAATTATCAATATTTTTTTACAGAACAAATGCTTGTTTGTAAAATCAAAACTTTAAATTTTTCATTGTTTAAAATAAACTAAAATGTAAACCTGAAAATTTGTGTGAAATTATAACCAGGTATTGCTGCAATCATTGTACTTAAAGCAGTAACATGACAAATAGCAGCAGGATTACAAGATTTCATTAATATAGTTTTTGTAATTATTTTCTTAAAATAACTTGCATTTAAATACAACCCTGAATAGGGTAAGAAGATGATGTAAAAATGTTCCTTTTTACTCATCATTATTTTAGTAAAAAATATTGATAATCAAACCCAACCTCAATACATTGATTGTATGGGATGTTTCTTTAAATAAGACCTTTGGTTCAAATTGTACTTTTTTTTTATTAACAGCAGATGTAGACATAATATTAATATCAGATGTAGACAATGTAATAATATTGCAGTTTAAAAACTTGTAAAAAAGCAATCAAAACATATTCAGTTGAAATTTTAAAACAATTTCAGTCAATTTAAATGTTCATGCATCAGATAGATGTTTATTAAACAATTTTGTAATATCATATTTTCATTAACTTGATGACTTAAATAATTATGTTAACATGTTTTTCCAATAATTTCATTTTGATCTTGTCATACATGAGACCTATAAGATGTTACTTTTCTGTGGACATAAAATCACATTTAATTAGGTATGGTACAAAAGTGATAATTTGGGAATGTTAAAAAGGTTAAATTTTGTTAACTATTTAATTTCTTAAAATGTCCCTAAGAAGGTCATAACCTTAAAATACACTTATCACTTTATAATAATACACTTTTACAAACAAGTAAACCAAAATTTAAAACAAAAAATTTAGAAATTGTTGTTTTTTTTTTTTTTTTCAATTTAGACAAAATAAAAATAACTTAAGAAATTAGAAAATTTTTTTAAAAATCAAGTATTTAACAATGAAGTAATAATTTTTTTCATAGTACCAATATGAATTCCTGGCACTGGTCCTTCTAGAAAATAATTCTCATCTTTTACTTTCAGTATTTAAAAATATGTTTACAGTTAAGCAGGGTATACTTCAAAGCAAAGTCTACATACTTTAATTTTTCTAGTAAAATTACGCCTTGAGATAATCCATCAATTTTAAAGTTACTAAAGTAAATACATTACTTCCTAAAACTTCTATAACTTACTATGTTAAAACACTGATTACCTGCTATTTCTATGAGAGTTTAACCAGCGCTCCAGGAGTTCTATAGACATCCCACCCAACACTATTTGCATGGGGTTGTAGATAAGAAGTGGTACAGAAAGATAACTGATGTTTGGGTTGCCCTCAAAAATTATTTCTATAACTGGCATACCTAGCAGAATAGAGATATTAAATTGCTTTATCTTCAGAATATACCTGTAACATTTTTTTGCCAATTAAAAAAAAAAATTTTTTTATTGCAAGCAATATTTTATGTCTGATTATAATTATGTGTATTGTGTAAGTCAATATTACAATTATTGGTAAATTATTTTGATGTAGATCTAATAAAAAAGTTGAAAGTTTTTTTAAATAATTGTTTTTTTCTTTTTTTGCTTTAATTTATATAAAACAATTTCTCACCCAAAGTTATAGATTTATGTGTCCCAGAAAAAGCAATGGTGACACAATCTAAACAATCAAAATTAAACACTGAACTGGAAGTTAAGAACAGCAATAAACACATAATGCCAGACTGCAGGCAGAAAACTGAAATAAAAAAAGGATCAAATGAATCTATAAGCTTAAACAATTTTTGTAACTAAACCAAGAGGGAATATACCTATATTTAGACTTTTCTGAGATCCAACATACATGATGGATATTGTATCATAAGCTGAGAAGCCCATTATACGATAAGAAATCACGATAAGAAACAGATGGATACAAATTAACAACAGAGTGACTGAAAAAAAAACAATGAGATGGCATAAACAATTTTAGAGTTGCTAACTAAATTTCTATTCAGAAGAATTTCTATTTTGCATGTGAAATTATAGTATATTTTATATGTAAGAATGAAATGTTTATATTAACTTACTTATAAAACCAGTGGTAATCAAAGAAAAGTAATCCAAAGAGAGATCTGATCTTGTAAAGGTAGCACAAAATGTGGCGTAAATAATGTAGAACGTAAGGAGACTGAAATTATTGGAGAAATTTTTTATATATATATATAAAGAACAATTTAATAACATTATTAAAAAAAAGCTTGGTAGTTTCTGTTGGGTTTCTTAAAACTTTTTGTATGAAAGTTATAATATTAAATGTCTTATAGGACTTCAGGAATTGGGTTCCTAGTGTTAAAAAAATAATTTTTCACTGGCAACCTCAATATTTCACACTCAAAAAACGTGAAGTAAAATGATAAAAAGACCATTATTCTTACTGGCCAATCAGGTTGAATGGAATGTTTTGTTTAAGCAGCCATCTCCGTTTATAGTTTCTAAAAACTAGACCACAGATTAAAGGTACAACGACTGTTAAGATCAGCTGCTTGAGTATTTGCTCAGATGGAATTTCAACTTCTTTTGAGCCTAACTAAAAATAAAAATATAGAAAGCCAACAAATTTTAAAAGTTTAAAAAGACTTCATTATAGTGTCATTGAGCACTGATAATTATAAAACAGGGAAAGTTATAAAAAAATTTAAAATACTTACTATGAACAAAATAAGTGGTGGTGTCAAAAATATACCCTGAAAAAGGAACTTTTGATAGATTAAAAAAAAAAAGTAGTTTCCTTTTCAAACCTAATGGTTTGTGAAGTAGAGCTCACCTGTTTCTGTGACCTCAGTATACAAAGGGATAGTGTGGTCAGCACTATGCCCAACTGCCTTTACTTTCCCTAACAAGAGTTAGGTATCCCTCACAGTTGGAATGAATCAGGCGCATTCTACTGATTTAAATTGGATTTTAATTCAAGACTTTCAGGTTAGTAGTCTATTGCTCTACCGCTAGGGCATGCCATCCCATTAATTAATACATGATAATAAAAACTTTTTTTATGTAGTTTATTTACAAACAAATATAAATTATGCTTTTAAATTTACTTCACATAATTTGCATTAAAAAGAGCAATGTTTAACACACTAGTGCAGGAAAGGTTTTAATAGTTAAGAAATACAGAAATATCAGCTTAATAAACAACAACGGAGAATGATGTGTAGAAAAACAATCTTACCAACATGCTTCCAAAAACTGAATTAAACAAGGCTGCTGCCTGTAAAGAAAAGACTCAAAAGATTTTTTTGCAAATACACCATTCACCTGTTAGATGCTTCTAGTCTATAAGATATAAATAATTATAGTTAGCACATCACAAATACAATTGTGCATATTTGTATAAACATATCTATATTTTACTCACTTCATTTCCCCCAACTAATCTAGTAAGAATGATTGCTGATGAAACAGGAGGTGGCATTGCACTCAATATCAACAATCTGAAAATATTTAAACTATTTGAAATTCATTTGACAGCACAGCCCTCACTTTATATTAAAGAATTATTTTAACAAAACCTAAACTGATGAATTTAAAAATTATTTAATAGTTAATGAAAATGCTATAAATATCAAGTTTTCAAAGGTCTTACCCATCAAGTAAAGCAGGATGAAGAAAAGTGTATTTCAATAGAGTGACTAGGGTGTAGACTATCACAGGAAAAACTACAAATGCAAAAACTTGCACAAAAAGGTGAATGTCCCATCTTTTTACGGCAGCTGTCAATGTCTACAACACAAGATTAACAATTGCTCAAAGTAGCCATATACTTTATAAATTGGTATATTATGAAATGTCTGACATAATTTTATATAATGATATGATTTGGAGACAAAAAACTATGAGGTTGTGAATTTCTTAGATTACTTAACACCCTCTTAATTGAGGTGTAGATTTTTTTTGTTGAGTTGGGGTGAGTCTGGTTGAACTCCATCATTTATTCCTCCCCCTCCACATTCCCTGATTGTTAGGCACTTAAATTGATAATGAACAGGTCAATATTTGTTACTTTGAAAACTGATAAAAATCACCCTTAAAATAAGATTGTTAGCGGAAAGATCATTTTTTAGAGATCCAAACTTGAAACCTGTAGGCTAGCAGCAGCATGCTGTACTTTTCAACACTGCTATCTAAGCTAAATATAAACCACCCATTTATTATATGGGTCTATATCATGCCATAAGAAGAAGAAATAAACAGTTCTTGTAAACAATATGACAGCATCTTACCTCTGTTGGAATATTCAACCCACCATTGAGAAATATCATAGACACAGCTAAATATTTTACAGTCAGCTCTGGTTTTAGTAAACCTGCAGAAAAAATTAATAGAAGCATAGAAAAGTTTAACACATACCTAAAAAATCATTAGGCCCTACAATATATATTTATTATCTAGTATTGCTTCCTATACTTATATCTCTGTTAACATTAGAACATATTTTTATTTGTGATTTTTGTGCATATGAATATGATAAAAGTTTTTTTCCTTAAATATATTTTTTATGTCAGAATTATTTCCCACTTTTTAATCATACCAGTAGCTTGTGATATCTAAAATTCAGTATCTGCCCCTATTTAATTTATGGTGGATAGGGCACAAAATCAACCAACAGATCACCCACCATCAACTGCCTTCAGTTTCAGATTAAGCTATTACTAATAATACTAATATTTTATCTGTTATCTCCCCTATTTTATATAGTAATTTGTTATCCAAGATCTACCACACTCTACACAACTCTACACTCTACTACATACAGGGGAATACAGTCTACCTACAGTTACTCTCGACACATTTTGAGGCCTTAGTAAATAAATACTTATTAAATTTTACTAATAATAGGCCTAATGGCCTAATGACTAATGTAATTACTAAATAAAACTAAATAGTAGGGCAGGGCCTAAATATTATATGGCTAAATACTAGATCTAGATTCTAGGTCTAAATAAATTATAATAAATAAAAAAGAAGTAGGGCCTACAGTCGGCGTCACTGTTCTCGATCTAGATATCTACATCTATATCTAGTCTAGATTAGTCAATTATTGACAAGTATCTAACTTACTAAACACAATATAAATATTACAATATTAATATTTTTAATACATGTCATGGCAGAGGCAGGCAGAGGGAGAGAGAGAAAAAGAAGGGAAAAAAAGTAAAAAGTAAGTCTAGGCCTACCTCCTGGAGCACCGATATTTGGATTAAGCCTTGCTAGAATGATGGAAACAACTATACCAGTGCAGAAATATAAACTTTTCATTTTAAAGAAAATTGAGACTACCTTATCAATGTCACAAAGTTTAAACAAGTATTATCATCTCGATGCAATTTACAACTTAACCACTATTTTAAATTTTTGTTTATTTTTGTGCATTTTTGTGATGCTGTAAATGTAAAAGTAAGACAGGATTTTAGTTAGGCGAAATACAAATTTGTCAAATAGCTACCTCTAAATCAATAGGCTAAAATACATTTTAAAGTGGCAAATTTAAACAGCTAAATTAAAAATTATAATTTAATGCATAGGCTGCGGTTTATATTTAATTTTCAAAAATTAGTTTCCCATAAGTACTGATATTAATCATAATATAGATTATTTCAAGTCTACATTTAGATTAAATAAAAATATTCCAAATGTTTGTTTCGACTATAAAGCCACTTCACCACTTTATACTTTTACTCTTAACTGCAACAAATTTGTTGATATCATGGCGTCGGACAGCAAAGCGAGAACCAACAAGCATTCAACTGTATCATTTACTCTTCCGATTTCATGTCAGATTTGTTTAGGAAAGGTTGCACGCTTTTTAAAATCAAGATGTATTAAATAGAAATAGTTTTAAAATATAATTATAATGGTTGTTAACTTGTTATAGTTATTTTTTTATTATTGCTTCTGTTCGCTGCACTGCTGATTTTGAGTAGACTAGACTTGACTAGAGTAACACACCGGCACCTGTAAACAAGATTAGATCTAGTAGATCAAGACTCGTAATCTAGATCTAGATATAGTAGCAATTCAAGATTTAAAATTCTAAAAATGTGCTTTCACAGGCACCCTAATTTACAAAAGCTTTGACTTTGAATGAATAATTTTAATTTGGGTTGTGGGTCAAGTGTGAAGTAAAAATATAACCCGAAAACTCTCATTTGGTTTTGCAATTGCATATTATTAACTTTACAATTTAAGCCTATGGTAAATAATTAAGTTTTTAAAGGTTATTTCCACCTACCTTTACTGTTTATTAAAAAGTAGAATGGTTTCCTGTTATTTTCGTAGCTTTGGTGATGTGGTTTTATACCATCTCATGATCAGCATTCCCTACACAATATACAAATATGATTAATTTAAAATACCAAGGAATCTCGAGTTTTAAAGGGTAGGCTTTAGAAAATCATTTATATTCTCCTTTTTAGTGCAATAATACAGAAAAGATTGTTATTAAAATATTTTTAATTCACTTTTTGTTTGTTTATGTCCAACCTCATTTTGGAAACTTTTTTACATCTGTCTTCTATTCCAACAAATACATTATGGGTAAAAGAATTGTAAAGGCACTTGTTGACTGATTTAAAATCAGAGCTGATAGTCTTTGGTAACTTAGACCTATCTTTACACTTGGTAGATGTGCTTGAGTGAAAGTCAGTCATAAATTATGTGTATCCCAAGGCAAAAAATTAAAGTGGGTGGGTTTAGTGTGAACTACATTTATATTAATGGATATTAGGAATTTAACAAGCATCATTTTTGTAAGATAGAATATATTGTAAAGTGTTTTAGTAATGGATTTTTTTCTATTATACTCATTCTTTTTTGTTGATCTTAGGTTAAGCAGCCAGTTCTGTGCCCAAATAACCATGTGTTTTGCCAACTGTGCCTTGAAATATGGTTACAGAGAAACAACCAGTGCCCAACCTGTAGAGTTCAAATCTCTGAGCAGAATCCAGTCAAACACATTATTGGTAATTAAACTATGTTTATTTGTCATTATAAATATAAGCTTTCTATTTTAATTTTTTTTTTAAAATGTTAAGAATTGTGAAGACTAAGGAATACAATTTATCTGTTACATTTTTAGACAAAAGTGTTAACTAATGTTCTAATATTGTATTATAGGTGGTCAAATCGATGAGGATGAAAATCCTGGTATTAAAAGCTCACCCAACTTGCGAAGAGCAAGGTTTGATCTCTTGTATCAGGAATATGAGGACCAGTTTGAAAAGTTGAGGAAAGAAATCATTGTGTTGCGCACAGAAAACAATATCTTGTTGGCCCAACTGCAAGATGCCGAAGACAAAAACAGCAAGGCCAGTGCTAAAGATCATTCTACACAGCATGGGCAAAAAAGTTCATCGCATGAAAATGAAATTGCAAGTCTGCTAACCCTAAACAAAAATCTACAAGAGGCCCAGAAGCTTTATTCTGAACTAAAAAGTGAAATGACCCACACTAAATCAGTAATTATTTTAATACACTTTTATAGTTTCTCTGATTTTAAGTTTATATAATAATAATAAAAAGGAAATGTTATTTACATAATTTTTTAAACTTTTAAGCATACAAATGAAATTGTGAAATCTAGAGGAAAACTAAAATGATTATTTAGTTTCCCTTTCTTATCTTTGCTAAGGTCATTAATTTACCATTAAAACTTCATATCTGACTGCTAGGGCCATTATAGAAACATCCATCTCTTTATCCCTACTAGGAAAATGGTAAACTGAAAGATGAAAATGTCAGCCTGACAAGGGAAAATGAAAACCTACGGCTAGAGTTGGCACAAAGATCACCCAAAAAGTTTGTTTTTACGCTTCACTCAGTTATTTAATCTATTGTTTTCTCACACTGTCATTTAAATGAATATGTGAGGTCTTTGTAAGACTTGTTGATATATTAGCTGCTACTTGTTTCCTGTTGTTTTTTGTGGGGTAGGCTGGGACTCAGCATTGTCTGGGTGTAGGTGGTGTGTGGGGTCAGTAAAGTGAGAACTTAATAACAAGAAGCTTATCAGATCATCACAAATAGTTGTAGTGATATACACCAACATTCACCTGTGTTATATGTGTTTACTTATACGTTTTAATAGTGTTTTTTTTTTTTAAAACTATTAATTTTCGTGATGCTTTTATTTGTTGTGTTTACAAAAATAATAATTATGAGTTTTATTTCCAACCTTCCAGGTTTGGTCGCTACACTGTTGCAACCCTGGAGACCAAAATTTCTGAGCAAGAGAAGGAAATCAACCAGCTGAAGAAGGCTCTGGAGCGAAGTGACAGGTACATTGAAGAGCTGGAGGACAAAGTCTCCCACCAGACTGTCAACGTCCTCATCAGAGCTGATCATAAAAAAACAGAACAGAGGCACGGAGAGGCAAACAAGTTTCAGATTAACCTGGAGCCAAAAAAGACTTACACTGATTCCGCTTCCGTGGCTAAAGAAACAGGCGCCAAGCCACCTACAAGTGCTGACCATACAGTCAGCAGACCCCAGCACCCAGTGGACCCCACAAAGAAACTTTTATTTGGTAAATATTATGTTGATGAAAAAACGACAACAAAGAGCAACCCAGGTACCAGCGCTCACTCAACATCTGCCCATACAGGTCAGCCTGCATCAAAAAAGGCTCCTCCACATAAAGCCCATGAGCCTCACTATCATGAGAACTACCACTCCTCCTCCAGAGAAGTGTTTAAAGATGCACATGTGCAGCATAAGGATGAGGGAGAAAGCAAGGACAGAACACCAAAAAAAGTTCATTTCAGTGAGCTGAACCCAAAGCCTAAAAACGGTTCCTTTGATCTGGAGCTCCCTAGCCCAATGGACAAGGAACACAGTCACCAAAGTTCTCACAAACCACACAGCTCGTCACATGCAAAAATGAGTGACTCCGAGTTTGAGGATAAAATTTCACAGCTTTTAGAAGATTACAGCACTAGCCCATCTGCGCTAGCTAGGAAAGCAAATGTAAATTCTGATCATAAGAAAAAATCAGATAAGAATTACATGACTTCAATCAAAAATGAGCCGGAGAAACATCGTGATTATAATGCTCAGAACGCAAATGACAGCAGTCACCTAAGTCTCCCAGACCTGAGCTCCTCAGCTTCAGACCAATTCCCTGTCTACATTAAAAAAGAACCTGTAGACTTGGATTACTCCATGACCCCTGAACTCACGGACTGCCTGGAGTTGATGACCAGAGCAGAGAGGAACATTGTTTCCCTGCCAGGAGAGTCTAGCACAGCCCCCTCTTCTGGTCAAACAACCCAGCACCCACATTCACTGCCCCGCCCCAGCAGTGTCCCACCCCTGGTGCCGAGCTTGAATGGGAAGATCTCCCCGGTGGTTCGGAGTATGAGTGAGATCTCCCAGGGTAGCAGATCTAGCTGGGAACATCAGTTCTACACTTCTCTCAGGTCCAACCCATATGACACAGCAGGTGGCACAAATACCCACACACCTGGCATCAACTTCAAACAAGAACCTGCAGACACATACCTGAACGTCAAACAAGAACCTACAGACACCTACCTGAGCGTCAAACAAGAACCTATAGACACCTACCCAAACAGCCAAGTAAACAACACCAATGTTGAAAGAAGAATCTTGTACTCCTTAGACCTTGACGCCGTCAGAAATTTAGGAACTAAATCCAAAGGTGATTTTAATTTCAGCGCACCAATTAAAGTTGGTCCGACGACATCATCAGGCCATCTACCTCAGCATACGTTTTCATTCACTGACCCCATTCAACTTTTACCACCTGGGTCACGAGGGCTTCCAAATCCATTTTCTTTCAGTCACACCGATCTGCCATCTAGCAACTACAGCAGTATTTTAAACAGCAATGCTCATCACGCTTACACGCTGCCTTCTAGTACGTCGCTGTTATATTCTTCAATTCCCAACTTGTCTACTCAGGACCTTCTGTCTAGACAGTCTCATAGACATCTGAAACCAATCAGTCAAAATGATGAGTACTCACAGGCAAGTAAAACCAACCACTCCAACACCATGTTAAAAAATGTCCTCTCCTCATCCCTGAACTCTTCAGAACTTGAATGGCCTGAGAGCTCACCGCCCCACCCCAGGCAGTATGGGACGACCACGGGCGGCAGTCGGAGACCAAATGGGACGGTGTTTTCCAAGGATGCTCTCAGCGCTGAGCTGTCTGTGCCAGCCACCTCAGGGAAACACAACTACTCACTAGACACCTTGGACATGAGTGATGCATCTTCCATTGCACCAGAACCAAAGAGAAGACTCTTTGAAACAGATGATGATCTTGACTTCAGTCTGGGGTCTAAAACCAGCAAGAGATAGATTACCTTTACATTTTTTACCCAAATAAAAAGAGTAAACTCAATACTATAGAGTTCTAATATGTACTTGTCACACAACTGTTAATTTGAAAAATACTTCATTAGAAAAAGCATTACCTTACGTAACTTAAAATGAAAAGAAGGGTGTATAATAAAATGCATTATTAACCAGAGGCTAATAATTGAGTAAGTAGGCCTAATTGATATAATTACAATTGGAAACAAAAGCTGAAAAAAAAGTAATTTAGCAACAGATATTCCAGTAAAATGTGTTCATTATTCTAGCACCACTCTTCTAGAGAAGCCTAGCTCATTCATGTTTACATATCTGTGATCAGGGGTCTTCCTGTCATTTTTTTTTTCTTTTTTGTTGAAGTCAATCCCTCAAGAAAGGTGTTTGTCTTCATGAAATTGTTTTAAGTGTATTCGTGCAACAAAATTTGACTCAAATGTTTTGAAGGTAATTTTGTTTTACAATTTTCTTTATTTACTGTATAGTAAACACAATAGAATTCACATCATGAATTATATTGAAATCTGTATGGCATACAGTATACAAAATCTAGCACTTTGTATGGAACCAGAAAGAATGAGAATATTTTTTCTTAACCTAATGCAGGACATTTAACAAAAAAAATAATAATATCCCTCTAAAAATGTCGCTGGGGTTTTAGGTCAAACTGAACATTATTGTTATTTTTTAAAAACAATCTACCTCAAGTTTTTGATAGTATCGAAGTCTCATGCCACTTCAATTGTTGACCAATCTCAAAACCCTGGGTTAACAACTTAGTATTGAGAGAATAAAAAAAAGTGAAATTACTAATTTTCTTAAGGAATTTAATAGAGTGTTGCCCACCAGCATAGTAGAACTGACATTCTCAGTCGTTTTTTGCCAAATCTTTTTTTATAATTCTTTACAATTAAATTTATTTACCATGTTTTTATGAAAATTGTACATTTTTCTTTTGTTATTTGCATTTGTTATCTTTTTGTTAAATATGTTTTGATAATTGCCAAAATATAAAATAAAATGGCGACGATTGAAATCGTACCTCTTAATTACATGTTCATTGCCTTGATTTGATTAAATTGTAAGTTTTTAACAAAAAACACTTAATTTATATGTACTTTAAACTCATCAATTACCTTTTTATTGATTTACACACTTTATATTTAAACTATATTTTCAATCTTTTACACATTTCTTTTACACATTTGTGTACAAGTATCTTTGCAAGATATTTGATATGAAGAAAGATATCTTTTGTTGGTCCACGGATTACCTTGTGTATGGTATGATAGTTATCATCCATATTTGATCACCTCCCTTTGATCATTGAATTACCTGGCTTGTGGTATGATAGATATCTTCCATATTTGATTACCTCCCTTTGATCATTCTCATCTCACTTGTCTTTATATTTTAGGGTGTACAGAAAATCAAGAGAGCATCAAAAAGTTCTCAATTATAAGCAGCTCTAGTATATTTTTTTTAAACATATTATAGGCCATTATATGTAATCGTATAGTTTTTTTTTTAAAAATATGTTGTTGAAATAATTAGTATTTTTCAACTGTTGGATGGAATTAAACCTTTTGGATAATTTTCCAATGACCCAAATTTACAGGGAGGGTTTAGGGGAGGTAATCAAATATTACGCAGGTTTTAACCCATTTTAGAAAAAAATTAAAAATTAGTTTTTTTTTACTGGGCCCATATATATATATATATATATATATATATATATATATATATATATATATATATATATATATATATATATATATATATATATATATATATATATATATATATATATATATATATATATATATATATATATATATATATATATATATATATATATATATATATATATATATATATATATATATATATATTCTTTTTTGTTTGTTTTCCAAGCAACAGATTGCAATTGTTAATTTGCCTATATTAAGTTAATTTATTTTTGTCAAGTATTATTTGTGTTTATAAATTCATTTTTTGAAACTTACTAGAAGAAAATTATCTTACAAAAATATTCGCTCCTCCTGTTGAGATAATGTTTGTTTTTCTTAAACCCTAACAAATGAGTATTTATTGATTGGCCAGATCAGGACGGTATAGATTCCCCTGATAATACATCATTTCTTGGACTTTCGAGAAAAGGTCAGCTCAAAGAAATCCATCAAAATCAAGTCTAGATAGAGTTCTCTCCCTTAGGTAAGGTGAGATTGGTGGGGAGGGGGGGGGGGTATTACCCTGTGGGGAAAAATAAGAGAGAATGTCAACAATCTTGAGAGCGCCTACATACATACATATATATGTATATATATATATACTATATATATATATATATATATATATATATATATATATATATATATATATATATATATATATATATATATACACATAATTATATATATATATACACATAATTATATATATATATACACATACATATATATATATATATATATATATATATATATATATATATATATATATATATATATGGTTTATATGCTGCGGAGGCACTACATTACCTTAATACTGAATTGTGTTGAATTGTTTAATATCACTATTAAGATCGAAGAAGTGGTAGACTGTATGTACTGTGTTGTTACTGTCTAATTCATATCATAGATACTAAACGTTGTCCTCTAACGAGGCCACGCTATAAACACGATTTTTAACCATCCAAAAGATGAATTTGAAGGAATGAAAAAATAGAAGGCTGTTAGGGTCACGATTTTTAACCAACTCTTTTTTCTTCATTAAAGCACTCTGAGCCTTTTATAGCACCGTTCCTGGGTACCCACGGGATTTTACCCCCCTGCCCGGCGGCCCACCCAGTCCACCCCCACTACACATAAATGGGTGCCCAAGTGTTTACCCCTCACCAAAAAAAATCCCTTGGACGTATATTTATGTGGGTATCGGGATCATATCAGACACGTAATTTATATATCGATATTTCTTAACGATGAGTCTATCTTGTGGAGATTATTATTCGTGGGAAAAACGAATTTTGTGGTTTGGCATTTCATGATTTTTGTATTCAGTGCTATGAAATTGATTGTCAGCCATTTTTTGTTTGTGTGCATTTTTATGGGGATCTCAAAGGGAAATAACCGCGTCTGATTCACCTCATGTTAACAGCGTTATTATATCCAGGAAAAGTGCATTAGTAAAACAAACCAATATAGAAACAGAAAATATAAAATAAGCTCAACTTAATAATATTATGAAGCAATGGTTTGGCGTACTATTTTGGGAGTGGTTACGGAAATTAGATCCGTCTTGTTTTGGGGTGCCTTTCTAATTTCTGTCCAAACTACCGATTCATTCAACCATCAATAGACGTGACTTAATTAGATCATGTTAGCTATATTTAGAACCCCACTGAATTAAAATCTAGACACGAACCCACACCCACCAAATTGCGCCGAATCGACCAGCTCATGAAGTGCCATACTTTTAGCTTTATTGTTACAAAACATGCTGAAATAATTGCCGATTTCTCAATCATGATTTGTGTTTTGTTCGTTGTATTACTAAAACTAGCGATAACTCCAGTTTGTAACTCACAAGGGGACATAACCGGCTCAAGTAATGGCCGGCAGCCAACAACAGGATTTAGAATAAAATTTTTCTGGCAACCATGTTACTTGGTCTCTGTTGGTCTCCAAGTGTCTCTAACTAGAGCTGTACTTCCGCTGTCGTGTTCGTCCCCACCACGGGGTTGTTCGGATGGGGAGGGGTGTCGTGTATGTATTTTTGCTGAAATAATATTGTATTAGTATATTTTTTTTTAAAAAACCTACTGCAATAGTAAAATATTAAACACTTTTTCTCTTCTACTTAATAATTTTTTATTAGTTGTTTCCATTTACTTTATTTAAGGGAAGATGTTTGGTAATCTGTTTTTAAAATGGCAAAAAAAAAGTAATCTCCATTCTAAGTAATAAGGGGACTGCTTTTATACATTTTAACTTTACATTTTTGAATTAGCCGCTGCTTTTTGTGTTCTTCAAAGATTATTTTTTAACATAATGAGAAGGAACGGGAGAGATCAGTGTAGTGCTGCTCACACTACTTAACTGGTAAGGGGTCGACCATAAATGACGTCACACTCGTAGAGGGGAGGGGGGGTCCGTAATTTTGTGACCGTGTGTGATGAGGGGGAGGGGGGAATTCAGATTGTGTGACACAGTGACGTCACACTTTTGCATTATAAAAAAGCAATTTTAGAAAACGAATTTTAGACGTTATTTTGCGTTTTAGAAAACTGTTTTAATAAATTGTAATAGGAATTGATCAAAATACTCTATGTTGACAGAGTTCTGACAAGGTTTTTGAAAAATATCGACATTTTAACAAAAATTGAACAGCAATTTTGAGGGGGGTTGTAGGCTGAGGTGTGACGTCATATTATGGGGAGGGGGTCTGGCTTTTTTTGACGACGTGTGAGGGAGGGGAGGGGGGGGGGAGGTAAAAATAGTCCAAAAAGAGTGACGTCATTTATGGATGACCCCTAATTATAAAAACAATTGTAAACATTTAGCGTGAACCAAAGCTCACCAGACCATGTAGGGGTGGGGTGGTAGGGATAGCGCTTACAGCTTGTTTTCTAGCGTCTCCAAGAAGAGAATTATATATATAGATATACTAATCTTGAGTTTTTGTGCACACAAATTCATAATTTATAACTTATCTAGACCCTACTAAAAATTACATTTTTATAATTACTTATTATTTATTTAATTATATACCAAACACGTTTTAATTTAAAAAAATGTAATGTCTAAGGAATTACAAATTTTGCCATAAAACGAGTTTAGGCTGTAATTAAGTAACTATTAATTAATTATAAAAATATAATTGAACCAAATTTTAACATTCTGAGCAGGCACATCAGAAAACTAAACTATTAGCCAGTTACTAAGTTATCATACAGTGACAGCAAACTGGGGAAATGGCTAACATGGGGTGGGGTGGGGAAGGAAGGGGTGATTGTACTGCGGGATGGGAGGGTGGGGTAATACCAGGTGGGTAATTTCTACGCCCTGTACTATTATACACAGCATTATATTTATAACTAGCTCGCCCGTCCCCGCGCGTTGCCGCGGGGTTAGAAGAAAGTCCCAGGATAGCCCGGAGCAAGTCGCACCATTCCGTTTCGCGGGCTGACACGCCTGATTCGATTTAGTGAACGACTATAATACTACTTCTTATCCATATTCTACAACACTTTTTTTTAACGAACGAATGCGCCATAGCTCAAGGGATAACACTGGGCTCTAAATCGCACCCTACCGGGGCGTCGGCGAACGCGCCTAAATTAGTTTAGTGAAAAACTATAATGCCCCATTGTATCCATAGTCTATCTCACTGTTTAAAACGAACGAAGTCAAACTGCAATCGACTTTTATTTTTATGTACCGTTTATACAGGAGAATCGAATCGCCACCCCCTCAAATTTGAATTGTTTTTTCGCAAAAACCTCCACAGGAATATTCTCAACAACTTCTTAAAGGTTCATGGTGATCGGATGAAAGGTGTAGTAATACACACACACATACATTAGTTTTTATATATGTAGATACAGCGGGAGTGATCTCCCCTAAACTTTCTCTAAAATACTTATAAAACACTACGGGGCAGAGTTTCTAGTAGTCTAGCGGTAGAGAGCTGGACAGCTAACCCGTAAGTATCGAGTTCAAGTGAGTAGACCGTCCCTGAGTCCACCCAACTCTGATGGATACCTAACTCACTTTAGGGAAAATAAAGGCGGCTGGGCATAGTGCTGACCACAATATCTCTATTCGGAGGTCACAGAAAAAAGTGAAATCTACTTCACTTGCCCTATAGACAGTCAGGTTTGAAAAGGGAACTTTACTTTTTTTGCGGGGGAGTGTTGCTTCCAGCCCCCCCCCCCCCCAACGAAATGGAATTTATATAG